GCTTACTAAGATTCTTCTGTATGGTAGTACAACTTCATTTTAAAGTGAAGATTCCTCAAGAAGTCCCATAAATTTCTTCTGAATAGTTGTACTCAGATGCACCCTAGTTTAATTGTGAAAGTAAAGCATAAATTAAGAGAAAATAATGAATTTATTTAATTCTCAAACTTGTGCATCCCATATTGTCTCCAAATGGCACTGTCCAACAAGTAATGTTGTAGATAAACTCAAATGCCTAGTTTGATATAAAATTTAGTGTACTTACAGTAAGTGAAAGGTGAGCAACCAAAAGCCAAAGAGAACAGCTGTTTGTTTCATCATGTAACAGCAGCAAAAGTACCCACACAGTGTCTCATCCCTTATCTAAACGGAGTCCATTCAGCACCTGCTGGGTACCTCCCTTTCCAGCCTTATTTTATTCCTCTTTTTCCTCTTTTTTTTGAGACTGACAGCAAGTGTGCCAACTCTGTTCATATTCTTGGGAATGTGGAGCCTTATTTCCCTCCCCAAAAAACTGAGAAAAGAAAATCATGTCACCCTAACACATCAGCCAAAGGCCTGGCATACCAACACAAACACGATCAGAACCAGTAGCACACCTTTTTCTCCACATCCATAAAGAACTGGTGCTCCCTTTAAGTTATATGTTTTTTACTATTAAACTATTTTTCCTGCCTAAGCAGGCCTAGACTTTTAAAAGCAAGATGGCAGACACTGAATTAAGCATTAAGGAGGAGTGCAAATTATGTCCAAAGCCACGTGTAATCTGTAGACCAGTGCTGGATGTGAGAGCTCTTTCAAAACTGAATCCTCAAAACACATTCACTGTCCTTTAGCAGGACCCACCACTCGTCAATGCCAAGGAATGCAGAGTTTGGTAACACCTTCCAGGGATAAATACCGGGATATTTAAAAAATAATAGTCTCAGTACTGAGTTAGGAGAATATTTTGATCAAATCCAAAAGAGCAACATGTACAGAAGAGCTGAAATGGAGAGGGATAATCCTGTTTTTATAGATGCCATTGAAACGCACCATTTTGTACAGCCCAGAAGCAAGCACCCCACCAAGATTTCCACAGATGGCACGGGTGGGGAGGACGGAAGACACGAACTCCCAAACTCCCAAGTACATAAGACCAGAAAGTGAAAACAAATCATCAGCAGAATCATTCCCCAGTTAGAGACAAAGTGCTGCCACAAACATAAAGCAAACAAACAGGAAAAAAAAAAAAAAAGACAAAACCCACAGGGAAAAAAAACATCAGTCTCTGTTGGTCACTGGAATATAATGGATTACTTACAACAAAAGCAGATTATTATTTTTTTTAACTGATAGCGTGTTTCAAGTTGTCAGCAAGCTTTTAATTACATTCAGAAAGTTGGAGTCTCTTGCATGGAGTAGACAAATTAAGCCATCCAAAATAATAATAAAGTTGCTGATTCGCTAACATTTTTAAGCCTGCAATTCATGTGCTTAAATACATTTTTAGCAGTATCTTCTTAATACCCAAATACATTCACACTGGCAACTTCAGCACACTGACTGATGGGATAATTTAAAGTATTTCAAGGAGGATATTTGGGTCTCTTGAGATTATATTTAAAATTTGGCAAAATAGAAGGAGAAATTAAAGCCCTGACATACATTAAGACAGAACTAGACTGTCTGGAAACAAACAGGAACTCCACCGATTTTTAAGGCCAGAAGGGACCGCTGTGATTGCCCATCTAACTTCCTGCACAAAGGACCCCATAAGATTTCACCCCCCCAAATCCTGCAAGTATTCTGAACCTGAAACACAGCCAAACATCCCGCACAGCAACACCCTTAGTGTCAATCACCTAATTCAGAGTTAACAGTTATAAAAAGACTGCCTTAATTTTCCTTCCGATTCATTAAAACCTTTCAGGTTTGAAATGTTGTCTCGACTTTGTCATCTGCCAAAATACAATCACCAAATCCCATTTGTTGTTTTTGGTTTTAAAGCACTCCTAGCAATCTGTGTGGTTTTATTATTAGTATTTACACAGTAAATGGTAACTCATAACCAACACCAAAGGGATATTGCCTACCAGGAAAAGAATGAAAAGTCACACTGACTGTATCCCCATTTATGTGGTCAAACATTCACTTTTTGTTCCTTCCCCCATGTTTTGGTATCAGACCCAGGGATGTGTCAAATCCTAGGACATCTGGAGAGATGAGCTGAATAGACAAGGTTCACTTACCATTTATTCTATTAGCATTTTATGAAACTTTAAATACGTGCCATGTTTACCAGAAATAACCCAAGGTCTACAAGTGTTTTCAGGGTAAGAATTTTCCCCAATATTTCCCAATTCTTGCCTGAACGCTGGCAACCACATTTTCCAAAGCTGCTTCTATACTTGCTGTAATCACAAACTTTATGGCAGAAGGGGCAGAACATGAGGCTGGTCATCGTTTCTTAAATGCTGCCAGATTACACTCATAAATGTACTACTTTCATACTGTATTACGGCACGGAAATCAAACTTAATTAAAGTGCATTTTAAAAAACACGTTCAAATCACCTTCAAAACACAACTCTTGGAACTTTTATTTAAAATTACCCTTGAAACTTTGATATTTGTTTACGCCGCTACTGCTGGCTGATAGTTATCCACCAAACAGGTAAAGAATAGAAAATAGCCCAAAGCCATGATTTTAAAATTCATTAGTGTTTGTAAGACAGGCTTCTCACAGCATTAAATGCCAAGCTCTTGGTGTCTGTTCAAGATCTCTGATGGCTGATCCTTACAAAATAAATATTTAAGGCCAAATTTGACAAAGGCAGATCTTAAAACATGCCATAAAAATACTTTTAACAATTACTACCGTGAGTGCACCGATTTTTCTCCCATTTTCAGCGCAGAACAAAAACAATTTCAATCCCCCATTAGAACACTTTTAATTTCACATTAGAAGCACTAGAAATCAACAATCTAACAACATGGAGATGCAAAATGAGATATGAAGCTTCATTGCCCACCTTTCTTCTTGACTGGCATTCTTCTTCCTACTTCTGGTTGCAAGCACTTATTTAGGTATTAATGATGGACTACTGGAGCACTGCGAGGTCAGGATCTGGCTATCTATTGCAAAACACTTCTACAGTTCAGTTAGGAAATGCAGCTTCAATCTTCATTTCCATCAGGACTTGCTGTTTTCTTGTATTGGATTTCCGATGCTTCCCATAAATAAGAAAAAAAGGGGGAAAAAAAGAAGCTTTTTGATTTAAGAGATGCTTTCAATTTCTTTAAAATATATTTGAATCTATAAAAATACAAGAGAAAATGCTCCTTGGCAATACAAAACCCTATTACAACTCCTCTTCTGGCAGCAAAGTTTGAAAATTAAAAGATTTTATGTAATATAATTAAGGCACAGTCCATCTCTAGGCAGCTGTCTCAGTACTCCACCTGTACATGCTCAAAACCACGTTATTTGCAGGACAAAAACTCCCAAATAATCCAAAGAAGGAGGAAGACAAAAAAAAAAAAAAATCCAAAGTGACTCTTTAAACTTCGTTCACTTCTTGAATGAATTTTGCTAGCTATGCATTGATTACACAGCAGACTGAAAAGGTCCCTTTTTCCTCACCAGACAACAGCCTTCAAATATCACCCTCTCACCCACCAGAAATCACTGGCCAGTCACTTTCATTTTTATTATCTGCAAGCCACCCAGCCTTACGGTCTTTAATGTCCCTCTGATCCTCCCATGTATTAAAAGAGAGGATTGAAAAGGAGGAAAGCAATCCCTTGACCTGGAATTATTAAAGTGACAGTGCTGCTCACTGGGCACTTTGGCAAAGCAGATTGCTTTCTAGTGGAGTCATTTATTTCATGCCATTTCTTCCCTTGCAAAGCAGCCACCTCGTCAGAGAGGGATAAGGAGAGTTAGGAGAAGAGCTTCACAAATGGTTCATTTTCAGAGATAATGAAGGATTACTGAAACAAAAAGCAAGCCATGAGATCAGTCCAGAGTTTCCCACTCAGAAGTGCAGCTGGTTGGCTTCAACATGAGCTCTCTCTCTCCCCCTTTTTCTGAAAAACAAAAAGAGAGAAACAGAAAAGGGATAGATTTTCCTCATCTAGCTCATTAGGAAAAAAAAATACTATGAAAAAGGTGGACAAGCTCCAAATGCTTCCCTTCCCCGCACGAGGAGCTGTGATGCACATGACAGGGCTTTGCTTTGCATCATCTTCTTTAGGAGACTGGAACTGAATTGGTGAAGGAGGGGGGGGCTGTGTTTTGCTCTTTAATGTTCACAACTGAAATCTGTCTCAGCTTCGCCCCCACCCCGCACTTTTCTTCTCTAGCCCCAAAAGGGGACTCCCTGGTGCTTTTTGGAGTGGGACGGCGCAGAGGGGGCTGGCTTGCCCTGAGGAGAATTGGGGTGGGATGCAGAACTGGGGTGGGATGCAGAACCGGGGGAGCTGGGCTAGATTTAAGGAAAAGGACCATTTTCCTCGGGATGAGGACGGAGCTGGGGAGGAGGGAGGATGCAGCCGGGGTTACAGACAGACACAAAGGAGGAAAAGGGGGCGACAAGGCAAGAGGAGGGAAAGGGCAAAGGCAGGGGTCGGGCCGCAGAGGGGTGACGGGTCTGAGGGGAACGGGGCCGGGAGCCCTGAGGGGAACGGGGCCCAGGGCCTGAGGGGAACGGGAGCGCGGGCCCTGAGGGGAATGGGGCCGCGGGGCGTGAGGGGAGAGGGTCAGCGGGTTACCCCGAGGGCTGGGCTTCCCCCCATGGAGGGCTCCTCGCTCCGCTAGGGGGAGTTCCCGCGTCTGGGCCGCCGGCTGCAGGCTCCCCGCTCAGCCCCGTCTCCATGGAGGAAGCCGCCGCCGCCATCCGCCGCCATCCGCCGCCCCTAGCAACGGGCAGCCGGCCCTCGCCCGCCGCCCGAGCAGCCAATGGGAAGACGCCGTGCTGCGCCGCCCGGGCGGGGCGCCCAATCAGAGACGTTCTCTGAAACCTCTGAAGCAAGATGGCGGCGCCCACAAGGGGGAAGGCTGGAGATGGGAGGAGCCGTGCGGTGAGGGGTGGGAGGAGCCATGTTGTACGGCGGCTGGGAGCAGCCATATTGTACGGAGCCGGGCGTGGCGGCGGCCATATTGTAGGCGGCCGGGGCCCTGAGGCGGAGCGGCTCGGTGAGAGGGGGGCGGGCGGGCCGCGGCCCCGGGACGCCTCAGAGCGCGGTGTGGGTTTTTTTGGGGGCTTGTGGAGGAAGCTGGGACGGGAAACTGCAAGCGAGCCGCCTTCCAGAGTGAGCTGCCTCGGTATTTCGCCATTTTTAAGGCTTTTTACCTCAGGAGGGTCGGCGGGGGGGCGAGGCCCAGCGCCGCCGTCGCTGCCTCCCTCCTGTGTGTCCTGAGGTGAAACCGGGCACGGGCCTGCAGTGGGGCTGTGGGGAGCGGCTCCCCGGTCAAGGAAGGGATTAGGGCAAGTTTGGGAAGCTTATTTAAGTTTGGGAAGCTCCCCTCTGTGGTAGGATATCTAGGAAAGGCGTTTCAGCCGCTAAATGCTCTGCCTGATCAAAAACTTGGAAGGTTTCTGTCTTGATACAGCTAGCAGTGCCAATGCTAAAAGTTATTAGTTGTGGACTGTAAAACCAGAGTATACAGCCTCGTTATGCAATTAATTCTTTACAAAGTATGTTGTTGGTTTTTTTTATTATTTTTTTCGTTTTGACAGTGAAGTCAACTTAAAGCTGCCCTAAGCAGTGGTGCTGTTGGTGCCCTTCCTTGTGCCCCTAGCAAAAGGAATTGCTGTGTCAAAGGTGATCAGGCTGGAAGAAAAACGCCAACACCTCCATCATTGAGCAGATCTCCTCCTGTGGGAGTTTAGCAAGTGGTGTATGTATGGCCCCAGGGTTGGTGGTGCTCAGGCAGGAGTGTCAGGAGGGTGAAGCAGCCGGTTTTGGTACTTAAATTGGCTTAGAGCACTTGATAAACCCCAACTGCAGCATGCATCTGCTAAAGAAAGCAGTTTGGTAAGGTTCATGTAGTCAGAAATGTCAGCCTTCTGCAGCTGGATCGTGTCCCTCTACATCTGAAAACTCTGCTGTGAAAAATAAGAAATGAAATAGTGATTGCGTACTGAAAGAGAATCTAAATGTTCATTTGGTACATACTGGGGGGGTGTAACTGATTACATTTCTTTGCTTGTTCCCTATGATCCAGGACTTCAAGATGACAGGAAGAGAATTTTTTGAACTAGATTCTCCAGTGCAGAGACTATATTTGGAAAGAATAAAGCGGATGGAAATCATACAGAAGTTGCTAAGTGAGCTTCCTAAAGCAGACCAGTAAGTGTCAGTAAAATAAATGAACTGCAGCAAACATTTAAAGTCTTTTGGAGGCTTTTTTCTTTGCTTTTATATTGCAAATCTTCCTTGCACCTACCAAAATACTCAATTGCAAAGGTGCTAATTTTTGTCCAGAACAGAAAACTTGGTTTGTGTATTTTTTAGTATGTTTAGCTCACTGTTCTTGGTGGTCCTGCTCAGCTGCTTTCTGGCATGAACTCCCCAGTGCTTAGGATTCCAGGATGGCTTATTAGCCCTGACTAGCTCTGAGCCGTCATACAGCCCTGTGCTAGAGCTAATAAATGGTCTAAGAAACAAATGTTGGAGAGCATAAGGCAGATGCCCTTGTGGTTCTTCAGGAATTGTCCTGCATCCAGCAGAGCTGGCCTGGGGCCAGAACCGAGTGAGCATCAAGCTGGCTAGTTTCTGCATTTCTTTCTAAACGACTCCCCCAGGTGAGAATGAAGCAACCAGGTGGTGGGGTAAAAGTAGACCAGAGCTGTACACCGGGCTCGTCAGCAGGGGTTCTGCGTGGCTCAAAAATAAGTGTCTTTTGGGCCTCGCAGACGTTTTTGTGCTTTGTGGCATAGTATTTCAGTGCAAAACTTTACTGGTCCTGAGCCGGTTTCCGTGTGTGTATCTTGCATAAATTGTGTACGAATAATTTAGAGTAATGGGAAGCTTTTTTTTTTTTTTTTAATAGGATGAAATTGCTGTCTAAGCAAACTACAGCTAATAACACAGGGCCTCCCCACACAGGTGAGAAAGGATAACGCCAAGCCTTTATCCTTAACGTTACTGGTGGTATAGCTTTGTGTAGGATCTGCTGTGCTTGCATGCAACCTACAGCACTTCTTCCCCAGAAGGCCTGAGAACTAAGAGGGAAGCAAGTACCTCAGTGGTGATGTAGTAACATCTTGATAGAAACTGTGGTACCTAGAGGTTATTTGGCCTTGGGAAGAAATAGCTGTCATAAAACAATGGCCGAATGTCCCAAAAGCTCGTAGTTTTGATGTGAAGGAGCTAGTATTTCTACAAACAACCAACCCTGCCATCCTTCCTTTTCTTCTGTGGAGTACAGCTGTTCCATATATATCAGTAAACTTGATGAGATTCAGTTCATCCTGGGTGCATTAATGTACTCGGCTTTGGTTTCTTAAATACCAAGCTAGATTTTAGTCTGTCCTCTGCACGTATGCATATGCACACATGCATTTCACTTTGGCTGTAAATATAGAATAAAATAGCTGGTTTTCAGAAACGGGGGGGATATTCTGTGAGTGACACCAGATACTGTGGGAATGGTGATTTGACAAGCGAACAGGCCCATTTCTTAAAGCAAACAAAAACTATGACTAAGGGAAAGAGCTAGGTGCTTACGCTATATAATACCATAGTTGAATTGTTGGTAGCATTTTTTTTTTTTTCATGTTTGAAAATGTGATGCGTACCACAAATGAAAGTATTTTCCCATTCAGAAGGAGAAATAATTGCCATTATTGATGTCAGATGCTGGTAATGTTAAATTAATGTTGGTTTTGCAAAATCAGTACTTAAATACGTGAGGTCTTTGGTAAGGTTTGTCAATGTTTAATGTTGCTCTATGCATTAAAATGGGGAAGAGTTTTCAATAGGCAGATTTTAAAAATCACGTATTTTAATTGCTAAGTGCTTTAGGGATGGTGACATTTGGTAATTTTGCAAATGAATATGACATTTGGCCTAGCGTAAAATTTGACCAGTTAAATATTTGACTTTCTTTAGATCTTTAGTGGTAAATTCAATTTATGACAAGTTTTAAAACACACTTAACGTAATAACACTGGCATAGCCTCAAAGCCAAAGTGCCTTCCAATTAATTGCTTTCCACATTTGTGCCACATTCACATTTGTGGAAACCTGAAGTGAAGCATTGTTGCCATTAATCAACTGACTGCCAGGTATAATGATACAGATAAGAACTCACAACTTCTTTCTGCAAGTCCAATGAAATAAGTCATGGACTGCTCATCAAACTGGTGCACGTTTCCATTCCCTCTCTTCTGTTGCTGTGATGGAATGCGCTCCAGTGGGAACTGCTTGTCAGGCTATTAATTGCTGCCTGTCTCTGACCAGACTTCGTTCTAGTCTGCGTTCACCATGTTATAGATTTTACCATGTGTGAACATCTCTGTTGCCATCATTGTCCCCCCCAATCTGTACTGTAAGCTCTTAAAAACTAAATCTGTACTTTCAGTTACACAGGCTAGAAATGAGGCTGATCTCAGGAGCTAGCTGGGATTTTTTCTTACAAACCATTCTCCTCAGAAACACACTGACTAGGAGAGTGTTAGAACTTCCATTACTTGTAATAAAAAAATTGTAGATAAGGCGTCTCAGTGTTTCTGACACTTCATTCAGGACCCATGTGTAAGCTCAGGCATAGAGCAAAGGACTTTGTGCTGGTTGCTGCTGAAAGTAATGACTAATTTCATATTGCAAGAGATTTACATCCCTTCTTACTGCAGAGTACTCAGAAATGAATTGTAGCACATAACTGTAACTATTCTACACTTGTTTTCCTTTTTTTTTTTTTTTTCAGGAACATTTGCAGTCATGGATCATACTTCCTTGCAGGAAATTCGAGCTTATGTGGCTTAACAGCAAATAATTACTTCAGGAAGATCCTAAATGTCAGAAAAGCTGCCATAGCGTCTGCTTTGCCAATGGCTGTTATTCCGTTTCTCTCAACAGTAGCAGTATATGAAGTCTTTGTGCGCGAACCTTTATTTGCAGGTAAAACTTCATTTTTTGTTTTAAAAAGGCCTTTGCTTTCTTGAAAATACTGGCTGCTAAAGAGTGGTTTGAAAAATACATCGGGCAGCAGTGACTTCCTCAAGTTGTGAGTGGGTCAGTGCAGAAAGAGGGCAGGAGGTGCTCCAGGCACTCAGCACAAGTTCTCCTACGGCCTGTGGAGAGACCCCTGGTGGAGCAGGCTGCCCCCCTGCAGCCCGTGGGTCCTACATGGAGCAGATATCCACGCTGCAGCCCCCACATGGGTGGAGGAGCCCCTGGTGGAGCAGGTGGATGTGGCCTGGAGGAGGCTGCGGCCCATGGAGAGCCCCTGCAGGAGCAGGGCCCGGGCCGCAGCTGCAGCCTGTGGAGAGGAGTCCATGCAGGAGCAGGGGACCTGGGGGGAGCTGCCACCTGTGTGGGACCTGTGCTGGAGCAGTTTGCTCCTGGGGGATGGACCCTGAGGTACAGAGCTGTGTGGCAGCAGTTCCTGAAGAGCTGTAGCCTGTGGGCAGCCCCCAGAGGTTCAGTTGAGGAAGTATGGCATCCCATGGGAGGGACCCCATGTGCTGTGTGTTGACAGTGAACTGTTCTGTCTGTCTTGCAGGTGAGCTGAACTGTGAAGTCTGCGCTGTGGTCAGGGGAGGATTAGTAGGGGCTGTTGTGGGTGGTCTCTATCCTATTATAATGGCTCTCCCTGTGAATGCAAGCCTTGCAGCCAGGTATGTCTTCTCAACCTGCAGTGAGTGAAAAATTTATTTTGTCTGTCATGTCCTCAGTTTAAGTTCTGTGGATTTTCAATCTTTGCACATCTATCCTTTTGCATGGTTTTCCTACATGGAAGGGAATTTACATTAATCAGCTAATTACAGGGAAAAGTACCTAAGAGCTGTGCTGTCAAGATGTACAAAACTGATCCAATGTAAAGCACTTGAGTTTAGCATGGAACCACAATGTGCCTCGGTTTGTTAAGTTGTAGTTGCCACTCTGCTGAGGGGTGGAGATCGCCCAGTGGTGCTTTGCTGGGCAGCTGAGAAATGTTCCTCATGCTGAGTTTCTACCACTCCTTTTGTTCCTTAGGTATGCTTCATCTCCCTTGCCAGGGAGAGAGAACTTACTACGCTTCTGGCTCACAGTTTCTCAGCCTATCTTTAGGAAGATGAGTTTTGGTGTGCTGATCCAGGTTCTGACTGGATTGTATCTCGCCACTAAGCAACATGGAATATACATCAAAATACTAGAGAATATGAAGCCCAGCAGGGATCCTGAAGAGCTACAAGCCTGAAGTGAAAGAACTTTCCAATTGCCTTGGATAAGTAATAAACAAAGAAAGAAGTTTTTGCTTGCTGTCTTTTTTCTTAATACAAACAAAAACAAGGTCAAGACTCTGCTGATATTTTTTTCAGCTCTGAACTTAAATGGAAATTAAGTTTTTCATTCTGTCTGGCTTACTATAGTAAGGTGCACTTAACAGGTCTGTAAGGACAGGTTTTTCTTGGGAGATTAAACATACAATATAAAGTATATTTTTTTCAGTGTTTGGTTCTAAAGTGGTGATGCTATGTTTTCTGGAACCAGCATAAATATTACTGGAAAAAAAGCTTTATGGTGATAATATTATAATAATGCAACCCACACTGATTAGAAACTAAAAAAACAGGCTAGAATTTTTTTTTCTTGAGATTCCCCAAAGTCTGAATATTTTCCTCCCTGAACTTCAATCCACTTCATGATTTTTGCAGAAATTCTCTCGCTGTTTATGGGTCACACTACAGAGGCACAGGTTGCCCAGAGAAGCTGTGGATGCCCCATCCCTGGAGGTGTTCAAGGCCAGGCTGGATGGGGCTTTGGGCAACCTGGTCTGGTGGGAGGTGTCCCTGCCCATGGCAGGGGATGGAACTGGATGATCTTTAAGGTCCCTTCCAACCCAAGCCATTCTAATATGAAAATCATCAATCTTCAATGTATTCTCCGGTTTGAGAACTAAATCAGGACTCCTTCTACAGGAGCAAACATCTTAATCAGAGTAAAACCCGGGATAACTGAGCAGCAGCCACCTTCTCATAAAATTTTACTATTCCCAGAGGTTATATATTTAGCAATATATATATTGCTGCAAACAGCAATATATATATTAATGACAATTAAGCACCAAGACTCAAGTGGCTTCATTGAAAATTTGTACTTTGATACTGATGAAAATAGATTAAATGAGTTTCATCATATTTGTCTACTTTTTCCTAGAGGTAGACTTGTTACAGCAGGGAAATCATGCATCCTGTTTCTCTATAACGAGGAGCAGTGGCCTCCTTTGTACAGGCAAGCAGCAGAATGAGACATCCACAACTGTTTTTACACAAAGTAAGTTTATATTGCTTAACCTCAGGTGTTTCTGTGAGCTGTTCTGATCCTAGCCCATATGTGAGCAGACATCATGGCCTTATCTTAATCGCCCCTCACTTCAGAGATTCTCAAAGAGCAAATGTTTTACTTGACAGTGAATTGTGGTATTTCCAGGAATTGTATCATCAGGCTTTAACCAACAGAACCACTTAGCGGTGGCAAACAAGTGTATTTCAAGCTATTACTTTGCAGTAGTATTTTTAAGAATGAAATGAGTGGCTCAGTGCTCGTTATTTCAGCATATAACAAGGTGTGGTTAAAACACTAGAAACAGATCTTCACACTTCAGGTGTGATATTCAAAACCACATTCCATTCCACGCGCTATTTTTACTTTGGTATCAATTCAAATTATAATTATTCTTTTAAGTAATCAAAGTGAGTGTTGTGATATTTAACGGTCTGATTTGGACAAGCTACTTTTTTTCTAATTTTAAGGTGGAAAAAGTTATATGCAAGAAGAAAAAAAATAATTCCTCAATGTCTATGAATAAGTTGTGAAGAGCAATACTTGCTCCTGCCATAACTGATGAGTACACAAACTGCAAATACATTTTTAAGTTATCCTGTGTGAGGTCATGTCAACGGTCAGCTGCACTCCCTAGGCAAGAAGCTAAATATCATATCAGCAACGGTGTTGATTAAAATAAAAAGGATATTCTTCAATTGTACCATGTGTACTGCTCCTTAACTGGGGAAGAGGCTCTCAGAATTGAGTTAAAGACTGAAATTGTGTGTTTCAAGGCTCAGCAGGACACGCATGAAGAAGTGTCCATTTGCCGAGGCGATCGGCTCCGGGGCAGACGCGTTCTGCAGCGGAGCGGGGGATCGGGCCAGGCAGGGCTAACTTTCCGGCATCGAGCCGACTTCAGGGAGCCGCCAGGACCCGGCAGCCCTCGTGAGGGAGGCTGACGAGGCGAAGGCGGAGCCAGCAGCGACCCCTCCCCGGCCGTTCAAAAGCAGCCCCTAGGGAGCGCGGCGAACAGGGCGGGCAAACAGGGCGTGGCGCGGCAGAGGGGAGTGGCGCGGCAGTTCGCGCAGGCAGGGCGAGCAGGAAGGGCGGAGAGCTACCCCCTGCCCACACGAACACCTCTTAACGACAGTCGTTAGCTAGGTGATAATGGTCTCCACAAGGCACGGAGCGTTCTGCAGGAGGTCGGTACACACCCAGACCGACTGCCCGTTAAAGAATGCAGCGGTTCAGGTCACCGGCCTGCTGCTGCCATCGGCGGGAGGCAGAGACGCTGCGTGCGTCAGGTGCGAGCAGGTGGATGACCTGATCCGCATGGTGGCGGAGCTCAAGGAGGAGGTGGAGAGGCTGAGGGCCATCAGGGAGTGTGAGCGGGAGATAGACTGGTGGAGTAACTCCCTGCAGGGCCTCAAGGAGAGGTACCGGGGTGAGACACCCCAAATGGGGGTGGACCCCCTGCCCTGTCGCCGCTGACGGAGCCAACTAGGAAAGGTGCCCTCCTAGACCTGTTGCTAGAAAACAGAGAGGGTCTGGTGGGAGATGTGGTGATTGGTGGCCGCCTCGGTCATAGCGACCATGAAGTGGTTGAGTTCAAAATTTACGGTGACAGAAGGAAAAGTGCCACCAAAACCTCATCCCTAGATATGGGGAAAGCGGACTTCAGGCTGCTCGGGGAAGTAGTCAGCAAGGGTCCCCTGGGAAACTGCTCTTGAAGGCCTCGATGTCCACCAGTGCTGGTCATTCTTTAAGCGATGCCTCCTAGAAGCACAAGATCAGGCAATTGCTAAATATCGCAAGTCAGGCAGGCGGGGCAGGAGGCCGGCGTGGCTGACCAGGAACATTCTGATGGAGATTAGGCAGAAACAGAGAGTGTTTCGCTACTGGAAGGAGGGCCAGGTGTCCTGGAAAGAATACAGGGATGCTGTTCGTGTTTGTAGGGAGAAAATTGGTGTGGCTAAAGCACACCTAGAGTTGAAGCTGGCTGTGTCTGTGAGAGAAAATAAAAAGGGTTTTTTTAGATATGTGAATGGAAAAAGGAGAACTAAAGAATACATAGGGCCGCTCCTTGATAGGGAAGGTCTCCTCACAGACAATGACATAGGCAAAGCAGAGACGCTTAACGCCTTCTTTGTCCTCTGTCTTCAATGCCGATGATGGGCTTCGGGACCCAGGGTGCCCTGAGCTGGAGGACCGGGACGGTGGGGATGACAAACTCCCAACCGACCCTGAACGTGTGCGGGATTTGCTACTCCGCCTGGATCCCTACAAGTCCATGGGTCCGGATGGGATTCATCCCCGGGTGCTGAAAGAGCTGGCGGACATCATCGCGGAACCTCTCTCAATTATTTTTCAACGATCCTGGGAATCTGGAGAGGTCCCGGTAGACTGGAAGCTGGCAAATGTTGTGCCGATTTTCAAGAAGGGTCAGAAAGAAGACCCTAGCAATTACAGGCCTGTCAGTCTCACGTCAGTGCCTGGTAAAATCATGGAGAAGATGGTTCTCGAACTTATTGAGGCGCACCTGGGGGACAAAGCAGTCATTGGTCCCAGCCAGCATGGGTTTGTGAAGGGTAGGTCCTGCCTAACTAACCTGATTTCCTTTTATGATAAGATCAGCCGTATGGTGGACCAAGGGAAACCAGCTGATGTGATTTTTTTGGACTTCAGCAAGGCTTTTGACACGGTTTCCCATAGGATCCTACTGGACAAAATGTCCACCATACAGCTAAATAAAAACATCATACGATGGGTGAGCAATTGGCTAACGGGCAGGGCCCAAAGGGTTATGGTAAATGGGGCTGCGTCAGGCTGGCGGGCGGTCGCTAGTGGGGTCCCTCAAGGCTCCATTTTAGGGCCGGTATTTTCAATATTTTTATAAATGATCTGGATATAGGAATAGAAGGTATTTTGAGCAAGTTTGCTGATGACACCAAACTTGGAGGAGTTGTGGACTCTGATTGAGGGTGGAAAGGCCTTGCAGAGGGATCTGGCTAGGTTGGAGAGCTGGGCGATCACCAACAGCATGAAGTTCAATAAGAGCAAGTGCCGGGTCCTGCACCTGGGACGGGGAAACCCTGGCTGCACGTACAGACTGGGCGATGAGACGCTGGAGAGCAGCCTAGAAGAGAGGGATCTGGGGGTCGTGGTAGACAGCAAGTTGAATATGAGCCAGCAGTGTGCCCTGGCAGCCAGGAGGGCCAACCGTGTCCTGGGGTGCATCAAGCACTGCATCGCTAGTAGGTCAAGGGAGGTGATTGTCCCGCTCTACTCTGCGCTGGTGCGGCCTCACCTCGAGTACTGTGTGCAGTTCTGGGCACCACAGTATAAAAAGGACATGAAACTGTTGGAGAGTGTCCAGAGGAGGGCTACGAAGATGGTGAAAGGCCTGGAGGGGAAGACGTACGAGGAACGGCTGAGGGCACTGGGCCTGTTCAGCCTGGAGAAGAGGAGGCTGAGGGGAGACCTCATTGCAGTCTACAACTTCCTCGTAAGGGGGTGTCGAGAGGCAGGAGACCTTTTCTGCATTAACACCAGTGACAGGACCCGCGGGAACGGGGTTAAGCTGAGGCAGGGGAAGTTTAGGCTTGATATCAGGAGGGGGTTCTTCACGGCGAGGGTGGTTGCACACTGGAACAGGCTCCCCAGGGAAGTGGTCACTGCACCGAGCCTGTCTGAATTTAAGAAGAGATTGGACTGTGCGCTTAGTCACATGGTCTGAACTTTTGGGTAGACCTGTGCGGTGTCAAGAGTTGGACTTGATGATCCTTAAGGGTCCCTTCCAACTCAGGATATTCTATGATTCTATGCTCAAAACCCTGGGGCTGGCTCAATGTGTGGGAAGACGTCGCCATCTCGCGGTGGAGATGGTCATGCGCTGAGCACAGCTGATTTGTGGAGAAAGAAAAACAGTAGATTCTGAAGCTTTTGCAAAGGGTCTTAAGCCAGGAGCACACTGGAACTGCAGTTTTCTGCTGTGACTAACCTGCTCCTGAAAAAATAAAAACCAACACGTGGAGTAGCCAGGACATGCTTGGATGTGCTTTATGCTCCGTTTGTCTCCTTTGCTTTTGGCAGGGCTGTGAAGGAGCTGGAGGCTCAGCTGGAATTCGAGCGAGTCAGGCGGGAGAAGCTGGAGAGCCAGCTGGATGACTACCGTGCTGAGATAAGCCACCTGAGAGAGAGACTGGAGAAAACCTGCAAGCCACCTGCAGCCCTGGTGCGTGCCACCCGAACGGCCCCTTTCCCAGAGTGTGGGACAGAGACTTGTCCCACTGCTTGTGCACATCCATTCTTGCTAAGATTCCACAGCATGGTGCTAGGAAATACCAGAGTAAATGTGTCAGCAGCTTTCAGCTTGGGACACTGAGGGAAGCAGCAGCCTTTGCTGCATCCTGACAGTGTCTCTGCTCTGAAAAGATAGCAGTTTCTCCTTGTGCCCTGGCAGAGAAGCATCTGTATTCTTTCAGGATAGCTCTTCTCCTTGTCATTAGGTTTGTTTTCCTTCCTTTTACTCCAGACTGGCAAGTGAATGGGCAGAGTGCTGTACTGCTGTGTGCAATGACTGATTTCAGCAAGTGGTCTCGTGTCATCTTAATTACCAAGTCCACTGACAGCAAAGCAGATACTGGCATGAACGACTGGTTGACTTAGCAGGCAAAGACAGAAAACGTATAGACACATTTTTCATCACATCTGAGGACAGATCAGAAGTTCACATGCTAAGTTTGGGGACAGGAGAGCTGGCTTTTCAGGTCTCCCTCTGCCACATATAATCTCCCACAAAACAATGTGATAAGTCAATGTCCTGTTTCTCAGATCTTTGCCATGCAGTCCAGCCTTTGGTGAGGCACCTGGGCTCCTGCTGCTACGGCAGGTGGGAAGCGGTGTGCAGTGACACTGCTGGGTTGTCCAAAGATAGAGCCAGTGTGAAAGGTGCACGGCCTGGCTGTTCAATGCTGTTCTTGGACCTTTGTTTACTGGCTGTTTTGGCCATTGCACTGCCTTGGCCATGCAACTGGTTGCTGGTCCTGCTATAACCAGTCTAAAAGTCAGCTGAGGAGTCACTGACAACATGGGGCACTTGGATTTAGGGCCTTCCTCTGCCAAAGAGGGGCCTGAAGATGCGTCCCCAGGGGCTGCTTCAGCCAGCACAGTGTCAGCTCTACTGAGATGGTGCCATAGTCACCCCCCCTGCTTATGGTTGTGTGGCCACTGTAACTCAATATTCACAGATCCAGAGGGAGGGAGGGAGGGAAAACAGGTGTACAGGCTGTTGGGGCAGTCATATGGGATGGGGAAGCTGGTCTGTGCTTCACATGGAACATTTACTTATTTCTTGGAGGAGAAATTGGGTTGCTGGATAAGCACTGATATCTTCAGCCAGGTTTGAATGACAGCCTGGTATTTGGAGCATCTCTACTGGGCAAGGGTCCTTTTCCAAGCGTGATGGGAAAAAATGCTTAGTGAGTGCATTGGGCAGGAAACAGGCAGCTAGAGCTCAGTTTTCCTACTGTTTAAGCCACGTGTGGGTTTAGCCTTCGCTTGAGTAGTTAAATGTGGACTGTGGGACCCTTTGGCTGTACCAAGTCTCCTACTGGATGGCCAGTACAAATGGTGCTTTTGCAGATACCATCCTTCCAGCATGGCCTGCTTACCATCTGCTGAGTCAAATGGCTTTAAAGGACACTGAGACATTTCTAAGAAATTATGAATAGCTTCCAAAAATACCTTTTGTTGTTGTTGTTGTTGTTGTTGTTGTTGTTGCTTTGAGGGCTTCTGAGCCACAGAGCAGTCAGGGAACTGCTGTTGTTTTCTTGCAGCTTTCCCTTGGAACTTGCATTACACAGCTTGTTCCATCTCTGTCTACCCCATTCCATGGTTTCTTCCTCCTGCCCTCCCTTGCAGGACTGTTTCTGCACCCCTCCTGCGTACAGTTTCCCCTCTCTGTTACCTGTCCCTGTTTTCCTTGCCACCACATACACACTGTGAAGCTCCCACAGCTGTTTGCTTTCTGTTATGTCCTCAGAGCTGAGCTCTTCCCTGCTGCTGCCACCCTCTGGCTGGCCAAGTGCTTTCTCCTTTTGAAAAAAAAAAAAAAAAGTCACTTTCTGCTTCCACAGCACACTGTAGGATGTTACCCATTCTACTCACCTGGCAGGTTTAAAAATCTGAGATAACTACGACATAGTGCCCTCATTCCTACGGTGGAGGAGTGGCTGTAGGTAGTTTGCTACCAGTAGCAGTCTGGGAAAGCCCCACTGGCCGTTAATGGTGATCAATCAGATTGACACGTGATTACGTGTCAATAGCTGAGGCAGGAGGCAACTTCTACTGAGGCAGATTTTCAAAAACTGCTGTGACTGCTGTAACCAAGGGACCTTCACATTTTGCCTTGCTGTGACTGCTATCTCATGCCCTGCCACTATATTCTACCCCGGCTTCAGCACAAATACAGTATTCTGTGGTTATTAAAGCCATGGATTTCTAAAGCCTGTCTTGGGAGGTAGCAAGTTTCAGTGATGGCTGTTTAATGGCTGTAACATCCTTTGTTTCAGAAAACTGAAACTATCTCCAATCCTCACAAAAAAGAGAAAAAAGAAAAAAAAAAAAAGAGTAAAAGAAAGTAAAGAAGAAACCAGCCTGCAACTCTGGCAGAGTGTTTGTGAGACCGCGCTGAGGACTGAACATCAGACAAGCGGCTGGAAGACCTGAGGAGGTAGTGGCAATATTTTACACCGTGCAAAGTGTTTGCGAAGCCCAGTTCCACAGATGTGCTGTGGTTCACTGAATTTCATTGAACTACTCTCCTAGTTTTCTGGCATAGAATATACTGTTAGTTCACTGCAACAGCATAAAAAACAAACCAAAACAACAAAAATAAAAAATAATAAAAAAAAAAATAATAAAAAAACCCCACACTGTCAGACTTCTGTTCCTGTCCAGGTAGTAGTTAAGAGTTTTTCAAACTGTAGCATTTGAGTGAAAACTGCAACCATGTCATGGGACCTAGGGTTCGAGGAAAGTATCCTCATCTACTAGTCTTTGTACTACTGCCTTAAAGAAATAAAATAAAGCATCTTACCTCAGTCAGAACCAGCAAGATGGTCCTGAAGCAGTGTCTGGGGCAAGTACTTGCTGAACTGCGGGGACAGGTGCCAGGCCCCTCACTTTCCACCTTCAAGCCATTCCTAAATAAGCCCTGAAGCTATTCCTTTGTGAGGTGCCAGATAAACTGCAGCGGTAGGCCCCCGACTCTAAATCAAGGCTGAGGATGTCACTAGGTTACAGGGCATGTTGTGGTTAGAAATAGCAATCCTGACATCCCTGCCTAAAAAAACATTTAATGGCTTTACATATAATACAGATTTTTTTCTCTTATCTGCATGCTATTGTGAAGTTATTTTCCTCTGGAGCTCCCACCATGCATTAACATTTTGGCTGTCTCTGTTCCAATAAATCTTTGTATGATAGACGGTAATTTGCTAGTGCTTGAATCCTCATCTGTCTTCTTAGCTACCTAAGGAACAATCTCTGCAAGTTTTGAAGTTACTGGAAAAAAATCAAATTGTATTTGTGTGCATACACAAGAGACTGGGGGAGAGGCATGCAACAGAACAACCTAAGCCTTGTTACAACGAGGAGAAAAACAGTCTCCAGAGCCCTCCTCAAGGTGTAGAGGGGTGATGGTGGTAGGAAGCTGTAGTAGATAAAATTTCATACATCACTGCTGGAGCTATTCTCATGTAGGAACAGTGCAAAAGATGAACACAGGTCTTTCAGCGAACTTCAGAAATAGTTATAGCTCATACTAGGATGGATTTGTATATGCAACAGTTACAAGAGACAAGTCACTGCCTGAAGTTCTTGCTGCTGGCTCCTGTGCCTATGTCACTAGCACAACAGAAAAAACAGCCTCATGTCTCAACACAACAGCACTGTGCTCATTATAGACCCCACATTTTTACAATCTGGTAATCTGTATTAAAGTCTCTCAGACAGCAAATATAAGAGATTAATTTTATTTTCATAAATGTAGATGGTAAATACATAATGTCATGCACAGAATACAAGAACTTGCAGGATAGCAGCAAGTTCAACTGCAAACAGAACCGCAATACAAAAGTTGCCACTATACCAGCACTATCAACTCTGTACCCCATAAAGGGCTTACTCTGATAAAGTTTAGTCCAGCAAGGGCTTTTTTATTTTTTATTATTACTATTAAAAGAAATCTACCTAAGCATAGGCATTTGTACTCAAGATGTGACTGCTTCAGGGAAGGCATCCACCCTTTACATCCCATCTCTGGAACTAGAGCTGTGAAGGCCTTGCAGAAAGCAGAGGAGGGATCATCACCACCTGAAGGTTGAGCCTGCCTCACAGCATTACGGACCACTCCAGAGGAGCATGGAGATGGGAGCAGGACAACCAGAGCCACAATGGCACTACCTGAGGTGCTGAGTTTCTGTGCCACAAGTCCGATCTGATATCCAGAAAACACACAACTTTTTATTGGAAATACTTGGTACTCCTTGAAGGGAGGAGTTAAGAGCACTTGTCAGCCCCTGGGCTGTATGCAGTTGGTGAGAACAGAGGCATTTCCCCTCAGAAAGAGGAGGACAGAAATTATCCCACTGGAGAACTGGCCACTGGGGTTACAGAGATTGTAAGAGATATTAAAAATAACTACATCTGTAGATACATTTTCATTTTACATGAGATTTTAACTGTATGTAAACCATTTTTCAAGAAGAACAAGGATTCTTTAGTACAGGCCTTGGAGTGTGTTTATATATATATAAATATATATATATATTCATATTTAATTATGAAAATAGAAAACCAAAGGGCCAAGCTTCAACCCATCACAAAAAACAAGCACAGACTAAAGGCAAACATCCAGCTCCTATTTTTCAGATTACGTTGCTTGGTCAGGGTAGATCTGCTGGAATTCTCCTGTGTTGGTAATACTCATTTAGAAACAGTAGTCCCATATTCTCATGGGTATGTCAAGTGTTTAGTATCTCCAGTTTGAGTGGAGCTGAGAGCACTGGAAGTGTTCTAAAATACAACAGACTTGATTCTAAAACCTATTAGGAAACACTTGCTGATTTTATATAGGGAATCTTTTGAAATAAATACATTATTCAATAGGGGACAATGAAATATTACTATTATTTGCCTACTCCGCACTCAATTATTTTGATCTTTAGTGTTACAAAGTCAGAAAACACTTCAGTGCACACTAAGAGTATCAAAACAAAAAGGTACCAAAGTTATCTAAGCTCAACTGTGATCATCTACTTGATGTTGCTTGGGTGGCCTTTTCTCCAGCTGTATTTGATGCACTCGTTCCATTCAGATCTATTTCCAGAACCTGTAAAATCCCAGTGCTATTGCTAAGCAAGTGAATACTGAAGCTGTTAAAAAAAAAAAAAAAAGTAGTAATTAGATGAATGTTAAATCATATCACCTTTTAAATACAGGAAATTAATTGCAAACATATAGAAGGATATCTAAAGTACTGCTTCTGAAACTTCCTCTATTGTTACAGTAGTGAAAATGCTGGAAAACAATGACTTGTCTCAGGTGCAGCATCCTGCATGGTAGCACTGCCTAGACAGTGAGACAGGAGGTCAAACTACTCAGCAGCCTGCAGAACCATTTTTTCAGGAACACATCTGAGTCACGGTGGATAACAGAGCACAACAGACTACAGTGATTTTTACTGTTGTTGCCCATCTATCAGTAACTGTATTACAGAATAGAAGGCTGTATCAAGTCTTTCATTAAACATGATTAAAAAGATTTTCCACTGAGCAAAACGACAACACGCATTTCACATGACACTAGGGTATCATCTCTGAAGTCTGATGAGTTGTCTTCCAGATTTGTTGAACCAGTGTTTTCCCTCTGAACTTGTTCTCTTTTCCAAATGTAAGTAGGTTTCCCTCTGAACTTGTTCTTACTTCCGAATATAATGTGTAACTGTCTTCTTATCCAGCTCAAATGAAATACAGATTTCATTGGTTACACATTGAAAACTCCATCACAAATCAGACTTAAATTTGTTCTGCTTTGTAGAGGAACTCTACAAAGTACTGCCACAGTGAAACTGTGTGGAAGTCGGAATGGGAGATGGAACTGCTCACTCTCAGGCTAATCCTCAAAGCTTGCTAACATTCTCAAGCAATCTCTGGAAAACTTTTGAAGCAACCCTGCCACATAAACTGTCAGACTAGACAGGGTATTTTGATTTCTTTCCCAATCTCTTTATTTATTTTAATGTCCATGGTCCTCCTAATCCCGGTTTGGGGCACAATCATACACCAACTGCAGCGTTTGTTGTGTTCTCACCTCTTCTGTGCTCTGTGTTCCATTTCTTTCAATCACGGCGGGGGGGAAGCCCCCACCAAATTCGAGTTATCAGCTGCTGCGCAGCTGACTTTTTGAATTCACTTGGCGAGTAATCTTGAGTAAGTCTTGAAAAAAAACGTACACATCCAAAATACTCCACTGGCACTCACCTCCTTGCCTATCACATACCTGCCAGGTAACGTATCGTATCCAGTTTATTTGATTCCATCAGTGTTTTTAAGGAAGCTATTTCAGTGTCAATTTTATTACTGATTTCTGAAATAACGCTGTTGGTACTTGAATCCTGAAACATTAAGACAGGGCATATATTTGACAATGATCTCAAGCTTTGCAAAACCAAACAGGAATACCATACTACCAGCAAGAAGAAAGAGAAATTTCCAACCTATCAGTGAAGTAAAATATTTAATACCTAAGTGACCTTCGAAAACACAGAACAGCATTTAATACAATCCAGGAAGGATATTAAGGATGGAGATAGAAAAAGAGAAAAAAAATCTGTACGACCTAAGTTTTATCTCTGATTTGCCAAGTGCCTCCTAAAGGAGGCATTCTACAATGTGCAGATAGTACCCCTGAATTTTTGCTGAACAAAGTTTTAAGAATTCACGAGCCATATCTGGGAAATGGATGAGATGCTGAAGATGGGAAACGTCCATCATCAGCCTCTTAGACTTCAGTGCCTTCCAGGAGGTTTTAAAGACTGCCAGCCCTTGAAACTTGCTTGGCTGTAGGTATCTGAACCATCCCACTGGCAGGGCTGACCAGCTCATCCCTTAGCACTGGGGAGAGCAGCATGCTGGTGCATGCCCACCTGTAACAGCCTACACAAAGGCACTCTGGAAGGGAGGGAACAAGTCTCGTACACCTTCTGCTTGGGTGATGTTTTGCACAAATCCCCCACACTGAAGCAATAATCACGTACAACATGCGTATGTGATACATGCTGACATTTTGTTTTACTACATTCAAGTATTTATTAAGCTTCTCAAAAGCTGTGTGTTCATGCAACATGTAATGTATAACTATCCTGCTCAATATAAAATGGCTTTTATTCACTACTTACTTTTTTATGAAACTCTGTAGTTGCCTCCATCAATTTCCTTTCTTGATCTGTAAACTGTGGATAAAAGATAAATTACAATTGTAGATAAAGATAAATTACAATTTATGTCATTACAAAATGACATAAAACTGGGCAGAGTATCTTCATAGACCAGCTTACCATATCTGTCACTCTGCTCCTCTCCAGGTTTATATCTAGCTTACTGTCAGCTCGGATTTTACCGGTTTCATTCTGTAGAACAAAAAAAAGATCAAGAAAATAACTATTTACTTCCCCCAGCATGAGTGTATAGCTACTTGCTGTTTACTCACCATTAACTGCTGTTTAACTTGATCTAATTCAATTTTCATTTTCTAGATGAAGAGGAAAAAAAGTTTTTAGTAAAGTCAGAAAAATGCTGGCCAAGCCAATCAGTTCTGTGTTACTGCTGCACATAAGTGATTACTCTTCCACAATTTTTCTCCCAGCAGAGCAATTTGTTCCTAGCTACGCTACTTAGGCTATTTAATCTATATCCTATAGATTATCTATATTCTGTGTGGTATATCTATACAGCCAGATGTGATCTGCTGGAAATTTTTCATAAAGCGAAGGAATCATTTTGTGAAGACATACAATGAAGATCTTGTGATTCTCAGACTAAAGAGAGCAGAAAAACACTAAAATGCTGTCAGGCAAAACTAAAACATGTCTAAATCACCAGTTTAATTAAATTGTTGCAAAGAAATGGCTGACTATTCTCCCTGGATTATGCTCTTAATGGTGACAAGGCTAATGGAATCACCCCTAAATAAAAATACAGAAGGTGATTATAAGATGTGAACATTTTTTTTTCCTTCCAGAGGAATTAAACAAGTTGTATGGAATTAAATATACTTTTATACGATCCCAGAAGTTGCAACATATAAACATTTCAACTCCTGGTAAAAAGCATCCATAATTACTTCTACGTAAATATTTTGCACCACAGAAATGTACAACAGATATAATCCAATTTAATTAAACAGTTAAATTGCAGTTCATTTAGTGTAATTAAAAATGTTTATTTATTAGTACCTCATTCTCAGCTCTCAATTTTGCAAATTCACTTTTTTCCAGCATGGCCAGTTTATAATACAGAAGTTGCTAGGATACATTTCTCATAGTGATGTATCATGACAGCTTGTGTGTCATACATGACTAAAGCAAAACCATTATTTGAAAACACATCATGAATTTGAGTAACATGCATACTCTTAGGAATTTGAAATGGGTGTTTAGTGTGTGTTAAGTTTTTAATGATTTGGGAGTACAGTTCATTTGTGGAGAGATGGGAATATTGTATGGTAATGTGTTAAGCATTTCATTGCTACGTGAATGATACATTTTCAAAATAATTGTGAAAAAGTAATGCTATTAAACAGCGGATTTGCTTTATATGAATCTTGACAAAGTAGAATTTTGGATTTTGAGCGCTTTACTGTCAACATGTTTGCATTTTAGGAAAGACTAAAAGGGAAAAGGATTTAAAAGTGGCTGCTATCGTAATGATGTGTTAATGCTACATTAACATTATTTTGCAGACATCATCATTTGATTGCACACCATCTCCCAGCAAGAATCCTGTAGAAAGTCCTCTAAATATTATGTTGAACATTGTTAAACAAGAAACACAAGAGTCCTGTGACTCGCCTAAAGTCAAAGAAGAACCTGATGACACCCCTCCTGCCTGTGCAGAAGAGAGCACACCTGCATCTACAGATATTAAAACAGAACCTGATGAGTCTGTTTAAATAAACTGAGGTATGTTTTTTTTTTTTTTTTACAGAAAAGCTGCTGTGTTATCTCTGGAAGGCAAATACTTTTTATATGAAATAAAAACATTCAGCTGAGGCAGGGCTTTAGCTACTGTTTGGTTAATAAATACATTTTTGTATTTGTATTTCTTACTGCCTGCACAGTTTCAGGTGTCATTGTGTGAAAGTTCTGTAGATGCGTGAAAATTTAATGGAATGAAATTGAATATGTAAAAATGTACAATTTTCACTTGTGGAAATGTAAATTATAAATAAAAGATATTTTTGCTATATATGGAGTGTAATGTTTATGCACACCATCAAATGAAGACAGTGTTTCTGTAGTTTTTTCGGTTTAAATGGAATTAAAAAGACCTCTGTTTTAGACCTCTTGCTGAATAAGATTCAGAAAAATGAAAGCAAGTAACTTCCTTCAGTTATCTCATAGGTGGGTTATCAAGGGAAGCGATGCAGGAACTTCTCAAGACACAACCCTATATTTTTTCTTTTTAAACTTATTTGAACAAACTTACATATCCAGATATTAAAAATAAAAAGTAACCAAAAAGTTCTGGGTAGAAGGGGAAAATTTAACAAAGAAACCAGAGTGCTTGATTGTGAACACAAGTGCCAACAAACAATTAACAAACCAGGATGCCTAGTAGCTGAGACATTTTAATGATTTTTTTTCCTTTAGTCACACATAAGAATTTAATACAGCTGAACAAATTTTTCTTTACGTTACAGGGGGAAACGAATGTAAGAATGCTCATTTGAAAAATGGTTAAGCGTTTTTTTTTGTTGTTGTTTATGACTGGACTTAGATGGTAAACCAGATATCCTGAGATGTTAATATTTCTTAAATGTAATAAATAAAATTAAGCATATATTTGTGTAAATCTCTTCCTTTCAGTAATGGGTTTGCGTGGCTGGCATGGTTGTGGGATTGCAAATAAAGATTCATACAATGTTTGTCTTGGGATAGTATGTCACCTGCATTTAAGGTTTTATTCACTCTGCTATGTGGGGAGTGCATACTTTTAAAGCTGCTGGGAGTAAGACACAAAACAGTAAGTGAAAGAGTAGTCCTAGTGTATTGCTCTTGTGGTGTGGATACTCAAAAGATCAGAATTCAGACTTAGTGTGTGATATAAGTAGAAATAATCAGCTGTAAGTAGAAAATCAGCTGTGAATGTGCTGTTAGTTGCAATGTTCCCAGTCTTCTCACTCAGGTTTCAAGGCGTAGGCTGAGACATCCTTGGGCAGTAAGAGGATTGACAGCAACTTTCTAACAAGGATAATTAAGCTCGAAATGGATTTTATTTAGATGTAATTATCAGTGCACACCTGTAAATCTGATTTGGGAATGGGCCTTCAAATGCAGAGTGCTTTTTTGGCCCCATCAAAGGAACCCAGTTTCCCTCCAGGGTATTGGATTCTTCTGGCTAATGGGGCTGAAGAGCAGGACTTCTGAACTGCAGGAAAAAAAAAAAAAAAAAAAGAAAAAAAAAAAACAACTTGTACCCTGAAACATCTCAGTGCAGAGAGGTTACAAGCACAAGAATTGTGGTTAGTCAGATTATCCCACGGATAAGAGCACAAGCGGTTTGAATAGTTCTTGGTTAATACATGGATGACAGTTTGAGGATGACGATAGTGATTGGTGTGATTGTTTTGTGCCTCTCTTTGGGGAATGCCACAAAGGTGGTAAGCCAGGGCATTGGAAACAAACAAAAACCAACAACAAATAGCTCGGGATACCCTTTTCCTGCCAACCTGCCCAGCGATCCCCAGGCAGCTTTATCCCAGCTCTCACAGAGGAACCGTCCTTTACAGACGGAACATACACCTGCAGCCCAGCATCAGTTACTCCACGCTGCTGCCTCCTCAGGCAGTCCCACACCTCCCCCTTCAGCTGCAGCCCCCTCACAGCGCCCCAGCCCCGAGGCTCCATCCCTCGGTGCCCAAAATGCCTCAGGGCCGCTGAGGCGCCATGGCCGCCGCTCCCGGCCCGCCATTTTCTTGCGGCCCGGCGGGAGCGCGAGCCCTGTGCCCATGGCAACACCGCTGCGACGGTTGGCAGAAGGGGGAGGAAGAGGAGAAGGAGGAGGAGGGCGCAACGAGTGAGGCTGCTTGTGCCGTGAGAGGCTGCCATGCCAACAGCAGCTGCGGTGCTGCCTCCTACTCCGGCTGGTGAAGGTGCTTTGCCCGCAGTTTCCTTCCCTTCCCTTCCCTTCCCTTCCCTTCCCTTCCCTTCCCTTCCCTTCCCTTCCCTTCCCTTCCCTTCCCTTCCCTTCCCTTCCCTTCCCTTCCCTTCCCTTCCCTTCCTTCCCTTCCCTTCCCTTCCCTTCCCTTCCCTTCCCTTCCCTTCCCTTCCCTTCCCTTCCCTTCCCTTCCCTTCCCTTCCCTTTCCTTCCCTTCCCTTCCCTTCCCTTCCCTTCCCTTCCCTTCCCTTCCCTTCCCTTCCCTTCCCTTCCCTTCCCTTCCCTTCCCTTCCCTTCCCTCCTGAATTATTCTCTGTTTCAGTGCTGCTGCTGTTTGTTCTTACAGCATTTTGCATAGTAAGAGTCCCAGCTCCTAACGGAAGCTGCTTTGTGCAGGGCAATGATACAGCCTGTCTCTTGGGCAAGTGGGAGTGAAGTGATGATACACAGCCACAAGATCAAGAAGTGTGTGTTAATCTCAGTCTGTATTACAGCAACAGTTCAACCCCTCTTTTCTTCTCTGTGGCAACCCCAAATCTACCAGAGCACTATAATCCTGCTGCAGATTACATGAAATTAGGCACAGGTAAACTGTGAAGGCTGCTTTTCATCATATTAGCACTTTTTTTACATGTGTCAGTAGCCTTTTCACAGAGCATCTCATTGATATCTAATATTTTTGGTCAGAAAATGCTTAACAGTTTGAACTATTACCACCATTTCTTCTCTACAGGCAGGGAAACTGAGGCACTAATACCTTAAGATCAACCTTTTCCCATATGCTTGATTTGCCGAACAGTAGCCTACTTCTTCAAGACTTCTTAGAGTGTGAAATCTAATCCAAGTGTTAGTGCATTTTGCTGCTGGAATGATGACTCCTCTAGAAGGTAATTAATAATTGTTTTGAGTTACTCATACACTTAGCTATCTGTTGTTCAGCCATTAGATCTACTTACATCACTTATTTCTGTTGACCAATTCAGGCAAAGTGCCAAGATGTTGCAAGGGAGTTTGGATATCTGACTCCCAGTGCTCCCAGTTATCCTGTTAATCAGTGAAAAGGCCTGAAGGAGAATACAGTTTATCCCGATGACAGATACTTTTGTACCACGCTGCCTTTACCTAAGTTCAGAGTTTTATTCCATGCTACTGAAGTCAATGAAAATGCTACTGACTTTGGTGGGGGCAAAAATTTAGGCCAACAAAGAGACCTGTGCCAGAGCAATGCTATAGATACAGCAAGGGAACGACACAGAATGACTAACACATTGTATAAATAATTGTTTTTGTGATGTAGCAGCTTTCATTTTGACATGAGCTTGTAGTGAAGCTGATTTGTGCAGCTCAGTCAAGAGCAATTACACGCTATGCTTAATTGGTAAAGGCTCTGGTGCCCTCAACACAGTATGCCATGGTATGCTGAGTCCTCAGGCAGCAGTGGGAGCACGGCCATGTGGAGCACTTGAAAAGTGATGGCTGAGAGCTTGTTCGCCCAAGAGAGAAGCCCCCCTGGTGATGCACTTGAAGATGTGATGGATGAAAGAGTTTGTGATGCCCACAGTTTTGGAAGAGAGCCAGTGTTGCGGTGGACCTGCTCCAGCATTTGCATATGTAGATGGAGTAGCTCTGCTTTCCTGCTCTTGCCATGTTTCATGTCATCTTTCTTCTGGCTCTTATTCATGGCTTCTTTTGGTCCATTTTCTGAGGCTGGAGATGACATGGCTGTTTCACATTTTTGAGTATTGCTTTGTTTCTGACAAACAGGGGCTAAGGATTCCTGCTGATACAAGGCTCACTCTCAGAAGTTACTCTGAACATGTTGGGTTGGTTCCTATAAAGCTGTCACCCTGATGATTCTTTGACTCATCACTTGTTTACTCTCTCTGAAATGTTACTGGACTGGCTAATGCCCTTTTATTATTCCTCACTAGCTGTCAAGAAGCAGCAAAAGTACACTAGTGTACACGAGGCAGTGAAAGCCGGTGATGTAGAACAACTTGCGTCAATGATAAAAAGAGGAGCTAGTATTGACGAGGTGGATTTAGTCCACGAGTTCACACCTTTGCACTGTGCTGCACACTCTGGAAGTCTGGAGGTAAAATATGATGTTGGTGTTCAGACAGCAATGTTTTTGTGAGTTAATGTTTTCCTTCTTTAGGAGAGGCTGGACACAAAGTCGTTGGCTTTGATCAAGCTAAATTAATAATCTCTGTCTGATTTTCTCAGTAAATATATTCACTGAGAACAGAAGTACAGTTTTTAGTATCTTATTTTGCCTTTCTGAAGTCCCAGCCACAGTTTACATAGTTAACACTGCCAGATTTTACAAAATCGGCGATTTTCTTACTCTGAGAAAAGTGTGCCTTATGGCCTCCCTTCTAGATTTATGACCTTCTTTTGTTTCTGTTGTGTTTCTCCTTCTCTCAGGACACCTAGAAACTCTGCTAGGATGTATACAATGAGAAAATCCTCTAGGACATGTACACATTCTCTAGTCACGAAGGTGATTGAACCAAGTGAGAAGTGACATGAGAGCCTGTTCATTCTGTTTACCAGTGTTCTGTCCTATGCCTCATTCTCTAGAAACAGTGCTAACACATTTTATTTTAAGAAATAAAAGCATTGAATGTTGATGCAGAAATCAGCAGCTACTTGGTACATGAACGTTTGAACTTCCAAAAGGACCGAGCTGCTGTATTCAGCACAACACTTATCTCCTTGTTACAGTCTTCTTGCATAATATTTTTGCAATCTAACTTTGAAACAGTAAGGTCATGTATAACCATATAAAAATCATGTCCCAAAGGAAAAAATGTAAAATTATTGCTAAACTCAAGAAATGCAGTTCTGTTACTGGAATGAACAGAAACTGTCAAAAAATGCTGATGATCATGCTGTCAACCCTAAAAACAGATTGCTTGCCCACCCTTTTCTACATGTGTAAATTCTGCCACTTCTCATTTGACTCTCCTACTTTGCAGTTAATGTATAAGGCTTTATTGGATTATCTGTCATCTGTTTGTTACTAAGCTCCTTGGTGGAAACAATGAAGGAACCAGAGGTGGAGCCTGGCCTAAAAGAATATATTAAATAATGATAATATATAACAAAACATTTTAACTAGTTCTCTTGCCTTTTTTTTTTGATAATTTTTTAAAGCTTTCCATTGAAAGCAATAACTTGTGGTGGAAAAAGGTGAATAAAGCTAAACTAAGCTATGAAAGGATGAGAAGAGAGGTGGGATTACATGCACCCTAAGGAGCTTAATGACTGAAATGAGGCATTACATTTAGTTCATGGTGTTTTTCCTGCCAGTAATTTTAGCTGGAGTTCAAGTGAGCATGTTTGCACCATTTTTCCAATGCTTTTACCTTATGCCATGTGTATGTTCTCACGGATTACATTTTAAATCTGGAAGAGTAAAATGAAGAAGCCATTCTGTAAAACCAGTGCTAGGGTCTGAGTTAGTAGTTATTTCTACTTTTGTGCCCTTGGATGAGGCCTGGAAACTGTCTACCTCACCTGCTAGTCCATGCTCTGAGGTGTCATGCTTCCATAAAGAAGTACTCTGATGCAGTTTTGAAATATAACATCTACTGTTAACTTATAGTTAAAATGTGCCTTAGACACATAGTAAGAATAGTTAAATAACAAGAATTTGGTTTTGGTTGAGCAGTGTCTTCACTGGTTGCTCTGGCACGGAGCTGACATAACACAGGTAGCTGTCAGAGGCTGGACTGCAGCTCACCTTGCGGCTATCCGAGGACAGGATGCTTGCATGCAGGTATGTGTAAATATTTACTCTCAAGCAAAAGTAAGGCAGGCTGCAGTTTGGACACAGTCATTATGAAGATCAGCTGAGAGGGCTCCTAATAGAGCTGTGAGTATCTCATCTTCACAACATTAGAGCTGGAACTGAGTTGCTGTTAAAAGCAGTGCACCTATTTGTTCCATCTGCGCAAAAAGATTTATTTTGTGTAGTGACAATGCTTTGACGTTACCCCAGAGTTACCCAGCTGATCATTTTAAGTCATCCGGCTAGGCTATGTTTGCTTTTTCAGCTTGCTTTCTGAACTTAGGCTTTGTGTTTCTTTTAGGCTTTGATATCAAATGGAGCAAACCTAGAAGCTCGAGACGACCGTAGGTGCACCCCGGCACACTTAGCTGCAGCCCATGGGCAGTCGTACACTTTACAAACCATACTGCAAAGTGGAGCGGTGAGACTTTTACCTGCAGATTCCTAGTGCGGAGTCAAAGTCTGCTGTCCTTTTCTAACAAAACTCATTAGTTTAACTGAGATTTGGGACTGTAGGTTAATCTTTGTTGGCATATTCTTGCTTGGCAGGTGTGGGAATTTATTCTTAGGATAAATTTCTTTCTTTTTTTTTTTTTTTTTTTTTGAATGTAAGACATGTTAGAGAAATGTTCCAAAAATCTATAGAGAATCAATAATGTGGAACACCATTTGACAGGGGATGTCACCAAATGAAGATCAGGCACTGAGGTTGTTGTGATTTTTTGTGATTGTACAAATCCTATACAGTAAACGACATAGACTGAAAAAAATACAGATGTATATTTAAGAATAATCATCAACACATCAATAGAAGTATTTCTGAACATCTACCTTTTCTGCATATATTATTTCAATACAACCAAGAAACAGTGAAAAATACCCATCTTGGAATGGGAACTATTTATATGACATGAACTTTGAAAAATATTATTTGATTTGATGGAAATAATTTAACACAATGAACAGCTGGTTCCTGCTTATAAAATTTGTTCCGTGTCTAAGATTTGTAAGTGAATGAATTAACCTGCTGTTTTCATTTCAGAATGCAAATGTTTCAGACAGGAATGACTGGAAGCCTGTTCATTATGCTGCTTTTCATGGTCGCTTGGGGTGTTTGCAGCTTCTTGTTAGATGGGGAGCATGCATAGATGATGTGGATAACAATGGAAACCTTCCAGGTATGTCAGGATAAATCGTATACTTAATCTTTGGATTACAGTTGTTGTGATATGTGATAATCTTAGCACACCTTAAGCAAAGGACACCTATCAGCGTTGGTTGGACAAGAGATACTGTTTTGATAGAACAAGGTGTAACAGTTTTAAACTAAAAGAGAGTAGGTTTAGATTAGATATAAGGAAAAAATTCTTCACTCAGACGGTGGTGAGGCACTGGCACAGGCTGCCCAGAGGAGCTGTGGATGCCCCATCCCTGGAGGTGTTCAAGGCCAGGCTGGATGGGGCTTTGGGCAGCCTGGTCTGGTGGGAGGTGTCCTCTGCCCATGGCAGGGGGGTGGAACTGGGTGGGCTTTAAGGTCCCTTCCAACCCAAACCATTCTGTGATGCTATGCTATAATTTGCTAGTTGGTTCCATGCAATACACATGGTTGCTCTATTTTTATAGCGATGAGGGAATTCATAAAATCCCAAGTAGCTGTCAGTTGGCACCAGCATCCTATTCAGCTCCTGCTGTTCCTTGCAAGGCTCAGAGCTAAGGGTGCTGGAACAGCTCATGTTGGGAGCAGGCTCGTTTTGAGAGGGCAGCATCCCCTGAGCATGTGGTGGAGCGCGTGTGCCAGTGGAGGTCACAGGAGGGGAAGGGTAGGTGGGGCAGCAGGCAGGTCCAGCTGCTACCTGCTCTTTGTTGAATGTGTGCCAGCTGTGCCAGTGTGAGCAGATTCTGGCACGTTCATATGCAGGTTTTGGTATCCAAATGTTTCTTAACTAGGTTGGTAAAACCCTTGTTCTCATTAACCTCTGATTTCCTCATCTTGATTTCTGGAACACCAGAATTTCTATATTATCTGCAGTCTGTACTCTTTTCGTAATCATGTGCACAGTCACCTTAGCACAAAAAAATGGGCACTCTCTTCATAGTCTCTCCACCATCCCTCTGCCTAGCACACCACTGCCTCAGTCCTCTGTAAGTTGAATGCTGTTGCTCATACCCTTTGTTCCTGTTGCATCCTTTCCCTTTTAACATGTTTTCTTATGGTCAGTCATATTATTTGTTCCAAATAGCATATTTTTCCATCAATAACTTGTTTAGAAGTTTAGAGTTATCCTTTTAAATCTACTTTCAAAATCTTTTATCCTCTATTAAGCACTATTTATCCAGTAAGCCAATATCTATGTTTTGTTTTTCAAACGTGGGTTTTGTTGAAGGATGTGAGGCTCTTACATCCCGGTAGGACATGTGGTGTATTGGCTCAAGTGATAAAGGTTTGTGATATTAGGCACCCTGGGGGCAGCATAGAAGGTAGCTTTGTTTGCATTTGGGAACACTTCCCTGATGTCACAATCTAGTATGGAGATATGGTGAATACCAGCACAGTTCCACTTAAATGCTCTGTATATACATGTTAGTAGAAAATTGCTTTTGTTACTCTTCTGACATTTACAGAAGCTGGTTTGTTCAGCCTTTGTTCTGTTTCATTTGATCCTCCTATCATCCAGAGGAAAGAAATTGCTTTGTAATATTCCTAATAAATGATTAACAGGAGTGTTAGGCTGTACAGATTAGAGTATTTTCCTCAGCTTCTGAAACAGTCAAGTAAATTTAAATCATTTTTACATAATTCAGCTTCAAGATTAGCTGGCCAGTGCTGTAATAATTACTTGAGTATACTAAAAGGAGTTTACTGAGGTTGCAATTCCATGCTCCTAAAACTTAAGAAATGTAAGACTGCACCTTGTCATAGAATCATATTTGTATTATGGCAGAGGCTTTAATTATCTAAAAAGATACTTTTTTTTATTTTTTTGAAGAACACTGTCTCATTCAGTGCCCTGAATACTCTGCATTCTTTAATTCAACATTTTGTTTTCTAACTGTATTCAGGTTTTGGCCATGCTTCACTTATTTCTTACCAGTTAAGCCTGTTCTAAATGTAATAATAATTTAATCATAGTGTGACACCTGAATTTTTCACAGACGTAGTTCTTCCACTCACTGCTTGGAGAAGAGAGAATAGTGTTAGCTTGATTTTATAACAGGTGAGATGAAACACCGAGAAGTGTGCCTGCAGATCACATGCAGCAGTTAAACATTGGGCACTCAGCAACACACAGGTTAAAAGCTGTCTGTAAAAAATTCCTTTATGTGTCTTCCATAGCATCCCACTGAAACTGCAGAAAGACATGGACAGAATCCAACTCTTTTCCATTTTTGCAGAAAGCCTCAAGCTTTTTTGACTGCTTTCTGCATAGGGCAGACATTTAATACAATTTCATTCCAAAAGGTGAAGTTTCATCCCTGAGATTCTTGCTTATCTGGAAGAGGACTTGTAAGAGTCGGATCAGTTTTGCACCATCTGACTAATAAACAGAAGTTAACCTTAAGATACCGTTTCTTTTCACTTTGTCACTTTTGTCCATGAGTCCACCTAGGAGAATGAAGTCAGATCAGAGCTGCTGAGCAGTGAGATTTCAGTTCATGGGGAACAGGGCACCCCAGCAGTGCACTCTCCTAGCTAGAGCTCAAAGGTCTCTTGGCAGTGGTGTGTTGTCTCCCGCCGTCAGCTCTGGCAGGGAATTTTATTTGCAGATCCCACCCTTGACAGCTTTCTTCTACCTCCTTTGCATACAGCTGGACTCTATCCTGGATAGGAGCTGAGCATCCCCTGACCAACTGGAGCTGCTCCCTCTTGTTGTGCAGTGTTGGATGGCTCAGGTGCTGGTGGAGGAGCTAGATCTAACTGGTAGCGAGAGCACTGCTTTCTTGGTAGTCAGCAGTGCTTTGCTCTAACCTACTTTGTTTTACTTTGGGCTACAGCACATCTGGCAGCAATGGGAGGACATCTGTACTGCTTTAAGTTCTTGGTCAGTAAAATGGCCAGTGTCATGGACATGCTGAAAGCCAGGAATGACCATGGAGAGACTCCAAGGGACTTGGCTGAGCGCTTCTATAAAGATAATATTCTGCTATATATTAACAGTATGGAAAAAGAGGAGGAGCATCCAGAGACACAGGAAGGTGAGTGTGGATCGAACACTAAAATGTTGTTAAAATTTATACTGTTAAAATAGGTGTCATTTCATAAAACACTTGATTCTGAAAACTTACACGAGAATTGCAACCTTCATATCATCAATGTAAGGAACAGCTACTGCTTTCAATAGTTACTGCACTTACTGATAGCTACAGTCTGGGATTCTCAATGTGATTTTATAAATATCTTAGATTTATAATAATCAAAATAAAACTTGTCGCACTGTTGCGCTATGAATACCAAGTTATGCACGTTCTTAGACTCCAGCAGAAATCCAGAATAGCTGTATAATTTTCATGAATTTTCAGATTTGCCTGCTCGGAATTCTTTACTTATACTGAATAACAGTTCAGCCTGGAAATGTTCTACTAAAATTAAGGTTACTTGTTAACCAGCAGTACTACTGCAGTCAGAACTGCCAAAAGATGCAAGTGTGGCAAGCTTCATAAGGACAACATTCCACAGAGCACAGATATAAGAACTGCTCCTTCACCTTTCTACTTTTTCCAGGCACTTATTTTCCTTATCCGCTAGTCTTTTGTCATTATACTTATATATATATATATATATTTTTTTTTTTTTCAATACTCTCTCTCTCTCTCTAAAAGTAACTGGAAAAATCCAACTTTCTTTATGAGTAGTTTTTTTTTACCAAGAAATAAACTAGTTTATATATTTGGTTAGACTGTGGAATTCAAAATAGGCATATGACTCTAGTTACCACCAGTAATAGAACAGTAACTGTGAAACAAAGGTATTCCAGGTCTTTGAAATTCATCTCCAAGCTGTATAAGATGCCTGTAGCCATAACCGAGATATGTTTAGTTAAGTCTGTGATGAACAGTGCTAGTAATGCAGCTGTGTTTTAACTGATTAAAGATGCGTTAACCTGCCTATGAAATTTCCATGAATAAGTTGTTACGAGAGAAGCAAGCTGTATGAGACAAATATGAACATGTTTAGAGGAATGACTGGTATCTGTTTGGAAACACGTGTTTCGTTTTCAGTTTTAGCTTTCCCAGCCCATAGCGCTGCTTTCAAAGGGGACATTTTGGTACTTAGAAGATTAGTGAAAGCTGGAGTAGTCAATATTAATGAGCGGGATGATAAGGGATCCACTCTCATGCACAAAGGTCAGTAATTATGATTTGTGTTTCAGCTTGTTACCGTTGGTTGCTGGCTTGTTTACTTAGTTTTTCAAGTGGCTGCTCATCAGATAAACTTAATGAAAAACAGTGTCTCATTTCCTGAGGGCTTGAAAGGGCAGCCTGAAAAACATATTTTGTGATGCATGTATGTGTAGGTGTCACTTTTAAAACAAGCTGAAGTCAATACAGAAAATTTATACATGTATGAAAAAGAAAACAGCATCTAAACTGAAATTTATTATTTTTTTAATCAGGTGAGATGTCAGTTTTAGAAACATGGGCTAGTCGTTCATAACAGTGATCTGTGTTATGGTCTGGGCCATTATTTGGTGAACATATTGCTACCATGGAGATGTGTTATAAAAAACACAACAAAGTAATTTGCTGTACGCTGTGGAGGAAGCTTAACTTCTTGTATCTAACACCTTGATTTGCAGTGGAGTGCTAGCACTACAGAAGAACGGTCCTCTTGTGTCTGGGGTTTTCTTAGTAATGCCTGAAAGATGAATCACAGAGTTGTAGGGGTTGGAAGGGACCTCAAGAGATCAGTGGGTCCAACCCCCCTGCCAAAGCAGGTTCCCTAGAGCAGGCTGCCCAGATAGGCATCCAGACGGGACTTTAATATCTCCAGAGAAGGAGACTCCACAACCTCCCTGGGAAGCCTGTTTCAGTGCTCCGTCACCCTCACCGTGAAGAAGTCCTTTCACATGTTAGTGCGGAACTTCCTGGGCTCCATTTTGTGGCCATTGCCCCTTGTCCTGTCCCCAAAAAACACTGAAAAGAGGATGGCCAAATCCCTCTGTCTCCCACACCTCAGGTATTTATACACTTTGATAAGATCCCCTCTCAGTCTTGTCTTCTCAAGGCTGAACAGACCCAGGTCTCTCAGCCTTTCTTCATAGGATGCTCCAGGCCCCATATCATCTTTGTGGCCCTCCACTGGACTCTTTCCAGGTGATCCCTGTCTTTTGTGTACCGGGGAGCCCAGAACTGGACCCAGTACTCCAGGTGAGGCCTGACCAGGGCAGAGTAGAGGGGGAGGATCACCTCCTTGACCTGCTGGCCACGCTCCTTTTTATGAATGCCAGGATCCCATTGGCCTCCTTGGCCACCAGAGCACATTTCTGGCTCATGGTCAACCTGTCCCATGAAATGGGAGAGAAAAAATAGTGGGAAGTATTCTTGTAATACGCTTTTAACACTATTTTCTACAATTCTTTTTGATTAGATAACAATAGATTTTTTAAAAAGATAACTGAAGTTCCCGTTATAAAAAAATATATGAAGGGATTTTAAAAGTGTTTTCTACATTCCTTCCTACTCCTTTTCGTGGAATGTTGCTACTTGTTTCGTCCAGTCTTTACATGCAGTGTTGATGAAATGTTGAGGGAAAATTTATGGCTGATTGTCTTTGCATTTCCTTATTTTTTATATATGAAAACAAACATGACACTTATCCAAATGGGTTGCTGTGACAGACAGAATTATTCTTCCCTGAGAAAAAGGGCTGGCTGTTTTCAGCCAGATATGCCAAATACCATCCTGTGAGACATCGTTCCTGGGGACCACACGGCATGGGCAGTAGCTGTGCTAGATCACACAACTAGGCAAAGCTGTTGCGTTGGGCTGCAGCTGAGAGGCATTGCCTTAAGGATGTGGCCCAAAAAGTGTGCCTGTAGCTCCAGCACAAAGCTCCTGTTTCTCTTGTTCTGTGTGAGCCAGCACTGTATGCCATGGATTGGTCCAGTCGACCCTGTGTGAGGTGTGGGAGCCCAGAGCCAGGAAAAGATGACAGCACTTTGCTGCAAATGGGTGAGATGCAGACCTCAAAGCAAGAGCATGCGAGGCAGCAGGTATTTGCGTGTCTTGTGCTCAATGCCTGAGACTGAGCAAGTTTAGTTTAGCTCCTCTCCAGCAAGAGTTGCAAGTAAATTTCCAGGACTAGGGGCAGGCACAAAAACACATTGCAGAATCTTCCCTAAAAATGGGCATGCCCATATGACTTGATCATCTGGAAACGCAGGCTTCTCTGAAACAGCATCTCACCTGTGGGGTCTTAATCAACCCACCCTCTGGCACATTGAACTGTGTCAAGAGGGGGATGTATGAGGTTTGAAACACTTCAGCTGAATACAACTGACTTGTGTGCACCTTCCTTTCCCCAGCTGCTGAACAGGGGCACGTCCATTGCTTACAGTGGTTACTTGAAAGGGGAGCTGACTGTTACATTACAGATGATGCTGGAGAGACTCCAAAGGATGTGGCCAAGAGGTAGCAATACATATCATGTAGCGCAGTCATTTATTTGCTTACTATTTATATATCAATCTCAAGTCAGCTTAGTTGTAATTACTTCTGATTTTCAGTGACGGAGGGAGGAAAAGGTCAAGTCCGTGAATTCCAGTTCTGAGTAACAAGCAAAGCAGTACTGTAGCTGTAAAAGGATTTATGTTTACCTTGTTTTTTCTGAACATGGCAAGACATAAAAGATGAAAAGTAACTGATTTGCAAAAGGAAGGTCGTAAGCCTGTATGCTCCAACTGCACGAAGTAAATGAGAACTAGAGAAAGCTGTCTGATTTTTTGCATTAATAAAAATAATGCAGTTGCTGATGAGATTCAGTTAAGAAATCCTACACAGGAAAAGATCTCTCTGATGTGGGAGTCATTGCCATAGGATTTCAGTGAGGCAGAGCTCATGCTGGGAGAATACTGCAGAAAGCAGATCAGCTGCTCGTAGTTTGTGTACCAATGCTTCCTGTAACCCTGAAACTCCCTCTTGTAAATGGGAACATGAAGAGTTTCAGAGAGTTTCCATCATATGTGGGGAGCATGGCTATGCTTTTACAGATTACGGGGATGTATCAGTGTAGGTTAACTGTTCTCTCTGCAGATTTGCCCAGCTGGCAGCTGTAGAACTTTTGACACAAAGAACTGGAGACAGTAACTCCAGTGATGAAGAACTAGATGCAAACAATGCAAAATTTTTTGAAAGACATGGTGTGGAAGGGAGTACGGATAGCAAAGAAGATTTAATCCTGAGCAAAGCAGAGAAAAGGAACGCACGCAGTAAGCATTTTCATCACTCCTTATTCAAAAAGGTAGTCTCGAGACATTCTGTTCCTACTTGCACAGTTTCTGCTAACTGATGCGACTTTGTTGTAGGATGAGTTTGGTGACAGGGTATCTGTACTGATGAGTATTCAAACAAATTGTGGAAAATTAGGAAGCATAGTGCAGGACAGTCAGAACGTATCTGTTCCAGTGTTTTAATCTGTGTCGGTGAAACTGCATTGGATTGCTCCTTGTTTCTGGGAGCTGTCTGTTGTGTGGGTGTCAGATACATCTCAGTATCTGCTGAGCAGTGTGATTTCTGTCTTTGTGAGACTTTTCCAGACTATTGGATTTCAGCATGACTGTCTTCAGTTCTCTCTGTGCATTTTACCTACCTGGAGGTCTCTGTCTTACAGTAAGGGCCTATCGCAAGATTCAAGAACTTCAGCATCTTCTAAAAATTGCCTACGGCAACTACAGACAACTGGGAGGAATAACGGAGGAGGAGAAGAAGATGAAAAAAGAACAAAGGGATGTTGAGGAGTAAGGTTAACTTCCTCTGGTAATGTTTAACTCAGCAAGGCCCATTTTAAAGCCTTCTTTAAGGCTACCTTACACTCAAATTGCTTTGGCCATTTTGTCTTTTCCACTTACCAACTTTAGCCAGGCCAAAAAGAAAAGGACTTCAGTGATTTTCCTGGCCATTTCTGGACTTCTGTGACCAGGATCAGCCTTACAGTACAACACAAATTATTATGTGTATGTACTTCTTTTACTTGTGCAGGGCTACCTGTTCTGCCTTCAGGTTTTCCTGCAGTGTATGTGCAGTAGTCTCTACATAAATCCTGACTATGCTTTTTTTTTTTTTTTTTTTTTTTTTTCCAAGGATGCTGAATACATGTATGCACTTTAATAAGTCTGAATAGAAGCATTAGTCTTAGCATGGCTTGCATGGAAGTGCATATACAGGAGGAGTTATTTAATGACCTGTTATATTTCTTTGTCAAGAGCAGTGTATTTCTGTGCTCATGAAGACATTAGGTCATTTTCAGACCACAAAAATAGAAATCTCAGCAAACCTCCCTTTGCATGTGAAGCACTTTACATAGTTTCTGCCTAATTCTCAGGGTCTCCATTAAATAAAAGGTTTCTGTTAGATGAGTTAGATGTTTAGATGGGCAGACTGTCTAAGTTTTAAAGAAATGCCTCTATTTCTCTTAAAGATTCAGACCTCAAACAAGAAAGCAACATCCTGTCCCTATTCTATCTGTCAAACATTTGGTTGCATTTTGTTCTTAATTCTTGTAGACAAGCCTGTCCATGTCCACGTTTGGGCCACTGCAAACCAAACGTGTTACTAGAGCAACATGTTTGCAGCACTGGAAAAGTCACTGTTGACTAACAGCAGAAATGAGAGCTCATTTTGGATACAGCAGCTACTGAAAAGCTGGCAGTGCCTGTTAGAGGGCTCTTGTAAGGGCTTTTGCTTTCCATGGCATGTGGGGCTAAACTAGTAAAACAGTAATTGTGAGGGTCTCTGAGGGATGTCATCTGTGGAGGCTAGAGAGCATCCCTAGATCCTGTCTGGCCTTTTGAAACCGAAATACTGCTCCTCAGGATACTGACAGACACCTGTGTATAAACCCCAAGATGCTTGTGTCATATGCTAGAAAACCTCATTATTTAAAAATATTTATCAGCAGCATCATTTTACTAGATGAAAAGCAGGAATTGCCACTTGGGAAGGTTGCTCTTTCAGATTTTGCTGTTAGAGGCCTGGTGGGAGCTGCTGTGCAGGGCCAGGCTGCATAGCATGGAAACAAATGCCACCGCATGTGTGCCACACCGTGCTGGAGCTGTGCCCCACAAATCCGGAGTGTGCAAGAAGTCACCTTGTTCCCCCAGGCACTGAGTTCCCTGCAAAAGCACAGGTCATTCTTTTAGTGTCAGTAAGGCTGACACAGGCCGGTCGCTTTGGACTGTGAGTCAGGAATGTTTTGGTCTGGGCAATGCAGTAGCTCTTCTGTCAGCTTTTTTTCCTGCCCTGCTATTTGAATCCACATGGCAGACATCTCCCTTTTCCTTTTACCAGTATTCTGTCTTTGTAGCTGTGCTAACTCATGCTACAGATGAGAGCCAGCTCAACTCCACATGACTCAGCTGTTGAGGTCAATTGTTGTTATAAGAATATATCTCAATTATGTCTCAGCTAACCAGTTCCAGGAATCTCAGTTAATTTAGTAGCCACTGTGGGGGTGACGGGGTGACTGATGAGAACTTGTGCAACTGTTTATCAGCCAGTGCTTCCGCTTTCCTTTAGTCGGTGCCATGCAGGCTGTCATTTGATCATTCCTCATCTGTGGTTAACCCAATCACTTTAGGAAGGATGTGGAGGAACCAGCCATAAATGAAGAAACTGCCCCTGGCCTGTCCAGAAAACCAGTTTAATGCCTGTTCTCTGTTTCCTGCCAACTCTTCTACCTCTTGGGCGTTTCTCCCTCTTCAGCAGCTGGAGAAAGACCTGGGTTGCAGCCTGCTCAAAACCCTGGGGCTGGCTCAATGTGTGGGAAGACGTCGCCATCTCGCGGTGGAGATGGTCATGCGCTGAGCACAGCTGATTTGTGGAGAAAGAAAAACAGTAGATTCTGAAGCTTTTGCAAAGGGTCTTAAGCCAGGAGCACACTGGAACTGCAGTTTTCTGCTGTGACTAACCTGCTCCTGAAAAAAATAAAAACAACACGTGGAGTAGCCAGGACATGCTTGGATGTGCTTTATGCTCCGTTTGTCTCCTTTGCTTTTGGCAGGGCTGTGAAGGAGCTGGAGGCTCAGCTGGAATTCGAGCGAGTCAGGCGGGAGAAGCTGGAGAGCCAGCTGGATGACTACCGTGCTGAGATAAGCCACCTGAGAGAGAGAAACAGGTTTGAGGCCCTGGAGATTGAGAGACCAGCAACTGAGGCAGAGGTAGAAAGTGTTCCCAGGAGGATGCCTAGGGCGAGGAGGTCGACTCCACGCCTCAGGACTGCCTCCACCAAGAAAGACAGGAGGGTGATTGTTGTGGGAGACTCTGTCCTTAGGGGAACAGAGGGTCCTATTTGTCGGCCTGACCCTACCCGTAGGGAAGTCTGCTGCCTCCCTGGGGCCAGGGTCAGGGACGTTGCCGAGAAAGTCAAGCGCCTGGTACGGCCCACTGACTACTACCCGCTACTGGTCTTTCAGGCTGGTAGCGATGAAGTAGCAACGAGAAGTCCGAAGGCGATCAAAAGAGACTTTAGGGATTTGGGGCGACTACTTAGAGGATCAGGCGCGCAGGTTGTGTTTGCCTCTGTCCTTCCGATAGGGGGGATCGAAGCTGAAAGGTGTGCTGTTCACATAAACTCGTGGCTTCGAGACTGGTGTGACCGGCAGAACTTTGGGTTCTTTGATCACGGGAAGGTCTATGCTACACCGGGCCTGATGGCACCGGATGGGAAGGGCCTCTCTCGGAGAGGGGTAAGGATCTTTGGTCAGGAGTTGGCAGGGCTGATAGATAGGGCTTTAAACTAGAGTCGAAGGGGGAAGGGGCTAAAACCAGGCACGCCAGTGAAGACCTAAGGGATGGTACGCTAGAATCAGAGGGGCTGTGTGCCAGTGAGGTCCTTCGGTTAGATCCACAAGGTGCTGAGTGTAAGGAGACGCACCTGAAATGCTTCTACACAAACGCACGCAGTATGAGGAATAAAATGGATGAGCTAGAAGTACTGGCCCAGTCCCGCAACTACGACATCATCGGCATAAGCGAAACCTGGTGGGATGAGTCCTGTGACTGGGGTGTTGCGATAGATGGTTACAGGCTCTTCAGGAGGGACAGGCAGGGTAGGCGAGGTGGTGGGGCGGCGATGTATGTGAAGCAGGGGCTGGACTGTGTGGAACTTCAGGTCGGCGATGGCAAAGTTGAGAGCCTCTGGGTAAGGATCAAGGGACGAACGAATAAAGGGGATGTCGTTGTGGGAGTCTATTACAGACCGCCTGGCCAGGACGATAGCGCCGATAAATTATTCTTTACAGAACTAAGAGAGGCCTCGAGATTAACTCCCCTTGTCCTTATGGGGGACTTCAACGTGCCAGATGTTAACTGGGAGTGCCACACGGCTGACACGAGCAAGTCCAGGAGGTTCATGAAGCACCTAGATGATAACTTCTTGGTGCAGGTGCTGACGAAGCCAACTAGGAAAGGTGCCCTCCTAGACCTGTTGCTAGAAAACAGAGAGGGTCTGGTGGGAGATGTGGTGATTGGTGGCCGCCTCGGTCATAGCGACCATGAAGTGGTTGAGTTCAAAATTTACGGTGACAGAAGGAAAAGTGCCACCAAAACCTCATCCCTAGATATGGGGAAAGCGGACTTCAGGCTGCTCGGGGAAGTAGTCAGCAGGGTCCCCTGGGAAACTGCTCTTGAAGGCCTCGATGTCCACCAGTGCTGGTCATTCTTTAAGCGATGCCTCCTAGAAGCACAAGATCAGGCAATTGCTAAATATCGCAAGTCAGGCAGGCGGGGCAGGAGGCCGGCGTGGCTGACCAGGAACATTCTGATGGAGATTAGGCAGAAACAGAGAGTGTTTCGCTACTGGAAGGAGGGCCAGGTGTCCTGGAAAGAATACAGGGATGCTGTTCGTGTTTGTAGGGAGAAAATTGGTGTGGCTAAAGCACACCTAGAGTTGAAGCTGGCTGTGTCTGTGAGAGAAAATAAAAAGGGTTTTTTTAGATATGTGAATGGAAAAAGGAGAACTAAAGAATACATAGGGCCGCTCCTTGATAGGGAAGGTCTCCTCACAGACAATGACATAGGCAAAGCAGAGACGCTTAACGCCTTCTTTGCCTCTGTCTTCAATGCCGATGATGGGCTTCGGGACCCAGGGTGCCCTGAGCTGGAGGACCGGGACGGTGGGGATGACAAACTCCCAACCGACCCTGAACGTGTGCGGGATTTGCTACTCCGCCTGGATCCCTACAAGTCCATGGGTCCGGATGCGATTCATCCCCGGGTGCTGAAAGAGCTGGCGGACATCATCGCGGAACCTCTCTCAATTATTTTTCAACGATCCTGGGAATCTGGAGAGGTCCCGGTAGACTGGAAGCTGGCAAATGTTGTGCCGATTTTCAAGAAGGGTCAGAAAGAAGACCCTAGCAATTACAGGCCTGTCAGTCTCACGTCAGTGCCTGGTAAAATCATGGAGAAGATGGTTCTCGAACTTATTGAGGCGCACCTGGGGGACAAAGCAGTCATTGGTCCCAGCCAGCATGGGTTTGTGAAGGGTAGGTCCTGCCTAACTAACCTGATTTCCTTTTATGATAAGATCAGCCGTATGGTGGACCAAGGGAAACCAGCTGATGTGATTTTTTTGGACTTCAGCAAGGCTTTTGACACGGTTTCCCATAGGATCCTACTGGACAAAATGTCCACCATACAGCTAAATAAAAACATCATACGATGGGTGAGCAATTGGCTAACGGGCAGGGCCCAAAGGGTTATGGTAAATGGGGCTGCGTCAGGCTGGCGGGCGGTCGCTAGTGGGGTCCCTCAAGGCTCCATTTTAGGGCCGGTATTTTCAATATTTTTATAAATGATCTGGATATAGGAATAGAAGGTATTTTGAGCAAGTTTGCTGATGACACCAAACTTGGAGGAGTTGTGGACTCTGTTGAGGGTGGAAAGGCCTTGCAGAGGGATCTGGCTAGGTTGGAGAGCTGGGCAATCACCAACCGCAGTGAAGTTCAATAAGAGCAAGTGCCGGGTCCTGCACCTGGGACGGGGAAACCCTGGCTGCACGTACAGACTGGGCGATGAGACGCTGGAGAGCAGCCTAGAAGAGAGGGATCTGGGGGTCGTGGTAGACAGCAAGTTGAATATGAGCCAGCAGTGTGCCCTGGCAGCCAGGAGGGCCAACCGTGTCCTGGGGTGCATCAAGCACGGCATCGCTAGTAGGTCGAGGGAGGTGATTGTCCCGCTATACTCTGCGCTGGTGCGGCCTCACCTCGAGTACTGTGTGCAGTTCTGGGCACCACAGTATAAAAAGGACATGAAACTGTTGGAGAGTGTCCAGAGGAGGGCTACGAAGATGGTGAAAGGCCTGGAGGGGAAGACGTACGAGGAACGGCTGAGGGCACTGGGCCTGTTCAGCCTGGAGAAGAGGAGGCTGAGGGGAGACCTCATCGCAGTCTACAACTTCCTCGTAAGGGGGTGTCGAGAGGCAGGAGACCTTTTCTCCATTAACACCAGCGACAGGACCCGCGGGAACGGGGTTAAGCTGAGGCAGGGGAAGTTTAGGCTTGACATCAGGAGGGGGTTCTTCACGGCGAGGGTGGTTGCACACTGGAACAGGCTCCCCAGGGAAGTGGTCACTGCACCGAGCCTGTCTGAATTTAAGAAGAGATTGGACTGTGCACTTAGTCACATGGTCTGAACTTTTGGGTAGACCTGTGCGGTGTCAAGAGTTGGACTTGATGATCCTTAAGGGTCCCTTCCAACTCAGGATATTCTATGATTCTATGCTCAAAACCCTGGGGCTGGCTCAATGTGTGGGAAGACGTCGCCATCTCGCGGTGGAGATCATAGAATATCCTGAGTTGGAAGGGACCCTTAAGGATCATGGTCATGCGCTGAGCACAGCTGATTTGTGGAGAAAGAAAAACAGTAGATTCTGAAGCTTTTGCAAAGGGTCTTAAGCCAGGAGCACACTGGAACTGCAGTTTTCTGCTGTGACTAACCTGCTCCTGAAAAAAAAAACCAACACGTGGAGTAGCCAGGACATGCTTGGATGTGCTTTATGCTCCGTTTGTCTCCTTTGCTTTTGGCAGGGCTGTGAAGGAGCTGGAGGTTCAGCTGGAATTCGAGCAAGTCAGGCGGGAGAAGCTGGAGAGCCAGCTGGATGACTACCGTGCTGAGATAAGCCACCTGAGAGAGAGACTGGAGAAAACCTGCAAGCCACCTGCAGCCCTGGTGCGTGCCACCCGAACGGCCCCTTTCCCAGAGTGTGGGACAGAGACTTGTCCCACTGCTTGTGCACATCCATTCTTGCTAAGATTCCACAGCATGGTGCTAGGAAATACCAGAGTAAATGTGTCAGCAGCTTTCAGCTTGGGACACTGAGGGAAGCAGCAGCCTTTGCTGCATCCTGACAGTGTCTCTGCTCTGAAAAGATAGCAGTTTCTCCTTGTGCCCTGGCAGAGAAGCATCTGTATTCTTTCAGGATAGCTCTTCTCCTTGTCATTAGGTTTGTTTTCCTTCCTTTTACTCCAGACTGGCAAGTGAATGGGCAGAGTGCTGTACTGCTGTGTGCAATGACTGATTTCAGCAAGTGGTCTCGTGTCATCTTAATTACCAAGTCCACTGACAGCAAAGCAGATACTGGCATGAACGACTGGTTGACTTAGCAGGCAAAGACAGAAAACGTATAGACACATTTTTCATCACATCTGAGGACAGATCAGAAGTTCACATGCTAAGTTTGGGGACAGGAGAGCTGGCTTTTCAGGTCTCCCTCTGCCACATATAATCTCCCACAAGACAATGTGATAAGTCAATGTCCTGTTTCTCAGATCTTTGCCATACAGTCCAGCCTTTGGTGAGGCACCTGGGCTCCTGCTGCTACGGCAGGTGGGAAGCGGTGTGCAGTGACACTGCTGGGTTGTCCAAAGATAGAGCCAGTGTGAAAGGTGCACGGCCTGGCTGTTCAATGCTGTTCTTGGACCTTTGTTTACCTGGCTGTTTTGGCCATTGCACTGCCTTGGCCATGCAACTGGTTGCTGGTCCTGCTATAACCAGTCTAAAAGTCAGCTGAGGAGTCACTGACAACATGGGGCACTTGGATTTAGGGCCTTCCTCTGCCAAAGAGGGGCCTGAAGATGCGTCCCCAGGGGCTGCTTCAGCCAGCACAGTGTCAGCTCTACTGAGATGGTGCCATAGTCACCCCCCCTGCTTATGGTTGTGTGGCCACTGTAACTCAATATTCACAGATCCAGAGGGAGGGAGGGAGGGAAAACAGGTGTACAGGCTGTTGGGGCAGTCATATGGGATGGGGAAGCTGGTCTGTGCTTCACATGGAACATTTACTTATTTCTTGGAGGAGAAATTGGGTTGCTGGATAAGCACTGATATCTTCAGCCAGGTTTGAATGACAGCCTGGTATTTGGAGCATCTCTACTGGGCAAGGGTCCTTTTCCAAGCGTGATGGGAAAAAATGCTTAGTGAGTGCATTGGGCAGGAAACAGGCAGCTAGAGCTCAGTTTTCCTACTGTTTAAGCCACGTGTGGGTTTAGCCTTCGCTTGAGTAGTTAAATGTGGACTGTGGGACCCTTTGGCTGTACCAAGTCTCCTACTGGATGGCCAGTACAAATGGTGCTTTTGCAGATACCATCCTTCCAGCATGGCCTGCTTACCATCTGCTGAGTCAAATGGCTTTAAAGGACACTGAGACATTTCTAAGAAATTATGAATAGCTTCCAAAAATACCTTTGTTGTTGTTGTTGTTGTTGTTGTTGTTGTTGCTTTGAGGGCTTCTGAGCCACAGAGCAGTCAGGGAACTGCTGTTGTTTTCTTGCAGCTTTCCCTTGGAACTTGCATTACACAGCTTGTTCCATCTCTGTCTACCCCATTCCATGGTTTCTTCCTCCTGCCCTCCCTTGCAGGACTGTTTCTGCACCCCTCCTGCGTACAGTTTCCCCTCTCTGTTACCTGTCCCTGTTTTCCTTGCCACCACATACACACTGTGAAGCTCCCACAGCTGTTTGCTTTCTGTTAAGTCCTCAGAGCTGAGCTCTTCCCTGCTGCTGCCACCCTCTGGCTGGCCAAGTGCTTTCTCCTTTTGAAAAAAAAAAAAAAAAGTCACTTTCTGCTTCCACAGCACACTGTAGGATGTTACCCATTCTACTCACCTGGCAGGTTTAAAAATCTGAGATAACTACGACATAGTGCCCTCATTCCTGCGGTGGAGGAGTGGCTGTAGGTAGTTTGCTACCAGTAGCAGTCTGGGAAAGCCCCACTGGCCGTTAATGGTGATCAATCAGATTGACACGTGATTACGTGTCAATAGCTGAGGCAGGAGGCAACTTCTACTGAGGCAGATTTTCAAAAACTGCTGTGACTGCTGTAACCAAGGGACCTTCACATTTTGCCTTGCTGTGACTGCTATCTCATGCCCTGCCACTATATTCTACCCCGGCTTCAGCACAAATACAGTATTCTGTGGTTATTAAAGCCATGGATTTCTAAAGCCTGTCTTGGGAGGCAGCAAGTTTCAGTGATGGCTGTTTAATGGCTGTAACATCCTTTGTTTCAGAAAACTGAAACTATCTCCAATCCTCACAAAAAAGAGAAAAAAGAAAAAAAAAAAAAGAGTAAAAGAAAGTAAAGAAGAAACCAGCCTGCAACTCTGGCAGAGTGTTTGTGAGACCGCGCTGAGGACTGAACATCAGACAAGCGGCTGGAAGACCTGAGGAGGTAGTGGCAATATTTTACACCGTGCAAAGTGTTTGCGAAGCCCAGTTCCACAGATGTGCTGTGGTTCACTGAATTTCATTGAACTACTCTCCTAGTTTTCTGGCATAGAATATACTGTTAGATCACTGCAACAGCATAAAAAACAAACCAAAACAACAAAAATAAAAAAAAAATAAAATAATAAAAAAAACCCACACTGTCAGACTTCTGTTCCTGTCCAGGTAGTAGTTAACAGTTTTACAAACTGTAGCATTTGAGAGAAAACTGCAGCCATGTCATGGGACCTAGGGTTCGAGGAAAGTATCCTCATCTACTAGTCTTTGTACTACTGCCTTAAAGAAATAAAATAAAGCATCTTACCTCAGTCAGAACCAGCAAGATGGTCCTGAAGCAGTGTCTGGGGCAAGTACTTGCTGAACTGCGGGGACAGGTGCCAGGCCCCTCACTTTCCACCTTCAAGCCATTCCTAAATAAGCCCTGAAGCTATTCCTTTGTGAGGTGCCAGATAAACTGCAGCGGTGGGCCCCCGACTCTAAATCAAGGCTGAGGATGTCACTAGGTTACAGGGCATGTTGTGGTTAGAAATAGCAATCCTGACATCCCTGCCTAAAAAAACATTTAATGGCTTTACATATAATACAGATTTTTTTCTCTTATCTGCATGCTATTGTGAAGTTATTTTCCTCTGGAGCTCCCACCATGCATTAACATTTTGGCTGTCTCTGTTCCAATAAATCTTTGTATGATAGACGGTAATTTGATAGTGCTTGAATCCTCATCTGTCTTCTCCTTAGCTACCTAAGGAACAATCTCTGCAAGTTTTGAAGTTACTGGAAAAAAATCAAATTGTATTTGTGTGCATACACAAGAGACTGGGGGAGAGGCATGCAACAGAACAACCTAAGCCTTGTTACAAAGAGGAGAAAAACAGTCTCCAGAGCCCTCCTCAAGGTGTAGGGGGGTGATGGTGGTAGGAAGCTGTAGTAGATAAAATTTCATACATCACTGCTGGAGCTATTCTCATGTAGGAACAGTGCAAAAGATGAACACAGGTCTTTCAGCGAACTTCAGAAATAGTTATAGCTCATACTAGGATGGATTTGTATATGCAACAGTTACAAGAGACAAGTCACTGCCTGAAGTTCTTGCTGCTGGCTCCTGTGCCTATGTCACTAGCACAACAGAAAAAACAGCCTCATGTCTCAACACAACAGCACTGTGCTCATTATAGACCCCACATTTTTACAATCTGGTAATCTGTATTAAAGTCTCTCAGACAGCAAATATAAGAGATTAATTTTATTTTCATAAATTTAGATGGTAAATACATAATGTCATGCACAGAATACAAGAACTTGCAGGATAGCAGCAAGTTCAATTGCAAACAGAACCGCAATACAAAAGTTGCCACTATACCAGCACTATCAACTCTGTACCCCATAAAGGGCTTACTCTGATAAAGTTTAGTCCAGGAAGGGCTTTTTTATTTTTTATTATTACTATTAAAAGAAATCTACCTAAGCATAGGCATTTGTACTCAAGATGTGACTGCTTCAGGGAAGGACATCCACCCTTTACATCCCATCTCTGGAACTAGAGCTGTGAAGGCCTTGCAGAAAGCAGAGGAGGGATCATCACCACCTGAAGGTTGAGCCTGCCTCACAGCATTACGGACCACTCCAGAGGAGCATGGAGATGGGAGCAGGACAACCAGAGCCACAATGGCACTACCTGAGGTGCTGAGTTTCTGTGCCACAAGTCCGATCTGATATCCAGAAAACACACAACTTTTTATTGGAAATACTTGGTACTCCTTGAAGGGAGGAGTTAAGAGCACTTGTCAGCCCCTGGGCTGTATGCAGTTGGTGAGAACAGAGGCATTTCCCCTCAGAAAGAGGAGGACAGAAATTATCCCACTGGAGAACTGGCCACTGGGGTTACAGAGATTGTAAGAGATATTAAAAATAACTACATCTGTAGATACATTTTCATTTTACATGAGATTTTAACTGTATGTAAACCATTTTTCAAGAAGAACAAGGATTCTTAGTACAGGCCTTGGAGTGTGTTTATATATATATAAATATATATATATATATTTATATTTAATTATGAAAATAGAAAACCAAAGGGCCAAGCTTCAACCCATCACAAAAAACAAGCACAGACTAAAGTAGTATCTCTAGTTTGAGTGGAGCTGAGAGCACTGGAAGTGTTCTAAAATACAACAGACTTGATTCTAAAACCTATTAGGAAACACTTGCTGATTTTATATAGGGAATCTTTTGAAATAAATACATTATTCAATAGGGGACAATGAAATATTACTATTATTTGCCTACTCCGCACTCAATTATTTTGATCTTTAGTGTTACAAAGTCAGAAAACACTTCAGTGCACACTAAGAGTATCAAAACAAAAAGGTACCAAAGTTATCTAAGCTCAACTGTGATCATCTACTTGATGTTGCTTGGGTGGCCTTTTCTCCAGCTGTATTTGATGCACTCGTTCCATTCAGATCTATTTCCAGAACCTGTAAAATCCCAGTGCTATTGCTAAGCAAGTGAATACTGAAGCTGTTAAAAAAAAAAAAAAAGTAGTAATCAGATGAATCTTAAATCATATCACATTTTAAATACAGGAAATTAATTGCAAACATATAGAAGGATATCTAAAGTACTGCTTCTGAAACTTCCTCTATTGTTACAGTAGTGAAAATTCTGGAAAACAATGACTTGTCTCAGGTGCAGCATCCTGCATGGTAGCACTGCCTAGACAGTGAGACAGGAGGTCAAGCTACTCAGCAGCCTGCAGAACCATTTTTTCAGGAACACATCTGAGTCACGGTGGATAACAGAGCACAACAGACTACAGTGATTTTTACTGTTGTTGCCCATCTATCAGTAACTGTATTACAGAATAGAAGGCTGTATCAAGTCTTTCATTAAACACGATTAAAAAGATTTTCCACTGAGCAAAACGACAACACGCATTTCACATGACACTAGGATATCATCTCTGAAGTCTGATGAGTTGTCTTCCAGATTTGTTGAACCAGTGTTTTCCCTCTGAACTTGTTCTCTTTTCCAAATGTAAGTAGGTTTCCCTCTGAACTTGTTCTTACTTCCCAATATAATGTGTAACTGTCTTCTTATCCAGCTCAAATGAAATACAGATTTCATTGGTTACACATGGAAAACTCCATCACAAATCAGACTTAAATTTGTTCTGCTTTGTAGAGGAACTCTACAAAGTACTGCCACAGTGAAACTGTGTGGAAGTCGGAATGGGAGATGGAACTGCTCACTCTCAGGCTAATCCTCAAAGCTTGCTAACATTCTCAAGCAATCTCTGGAAAACTTTTGAAGCAACCCTGCCACATAAACTGTCAGACTAGACAGGGTATTTTGATTTCTTTCCCAATCTCTTTATTTATTTTAATGTCCATGGTCCTCCTAATCCCGGTTTGGGGCACAATCATACACCAACTGCAGCGTTTGTTGTGTTCTCACCTCTTCTGTGCTCTGTGTTCCATTTCTTTCAATCACGGCAGGGGGGAAGCCCCCACCAAATTCTAGTTATCAGCTGCTGCGCAGCTGACTTTTTGAATTCACTTGGCGAGTAATCTTGAGTAAGTCTTGAAAAAAAACGTACACATCCAAAATACTCCACTGGCACTCACCTCCTTGCCTATCACATACCTGCCAGGTAACGTATCGTATCCAGTTTATTTGATTCCATCAGTGTTTTTAAGGAAGCTATTTCAGTGTCAATTTTATTACTGATTTCTGAAATAACGCTGTTGGTACTTGAATCCTGAAACATTAAGACAGGGCATATATTTGACAATGATCTCAAGCTTTGCAAAACCAAACAGGAATACCATACTACCAGCAAGAAGAAAGAAATTTCCAACCTATCAGTGAAGTAAAATATTTAATACCTAAGTGATCTTCGAAAACACAGAACAGCATTTAATACATTCCAGGAAGGATATTAAGGATGGAGATAGAAAAAGAGAAAAAAAATCTGTACGACCTAAGTTTTATCTCTGATTTGCCAAGTGCCTCCTAAAGGAGGCATTCTACAATGTGCAGATAGTACCCCTGAATTTTTGCTGAACAAAGTTTTAAGAATTCACGAGCCATATCTGGGAAATGGATGAGATGCTGAAGATGGGAAACGTCCATCATCAGCCTCTTAGACTTCAGTGCCTTCCAGGAGGTTTTAAAGACTGCCAGCCCTTGAAACTTGCTTGGCTGTAGGTAGCTGAACCATCCCACTGGCAGGGCTGACCAGCTCATCCCTTAGCACTGGGGAGAGCAGCATGCTGGTGCATGCCCACCTGTAACAGCCTACACAAAGGCACTCTGGAAGGGAGGGAACAAGTCTCGTACGCCTTCTGCTTGGGTGATGTTTTGCACAAATCCCCCACACTGAAGCAATAATCACGTACAACATGCGTATGTGATACATGCTGACATTTTGTTTTACTACATTCAAGTATTTATTAAGCTTCTCAGAAGCTGTGTGTTCATGCAACATGTAATGTATAACTATCCTGCTCAATATAAAATGGCTTTTATTCACTACTTACTTTTTTATGAAACTCTGTAGTTGCCTCCATCAATTTCCTTTCTTGATCTGTAAACTGTGGATAAAAGATAAATTACAATTGTAGATAAAGATAAATTACAATTTATGTCATTACAAAATGACATAAAACTGGGCAGAGTATCTTCATAGACCAGCTTACCATATCTGTCACTCTGCTCCTCTCCAGGTTTATATCTAGCTTACTGTCAGCTCGGATTTTACCGGTTTCATTCTGTAGAACAAAAAAAAGATCAAGAAAATAACTATTTACTTCCCCCAGCATGAGTGTATAGCTACTTGCTGTTTACTCACCATTAACTGCTGTTTAACTTGATCTAATTCAATTTTCATTTTCTAGATGAAGAGGAAAAAAAGTTTTTAGTAAAGACAGAAAAATGCTGGCCAAGCCAATCAGTTCTGTGTTACTGCTGCACATAAGTGATTACTCTTCCACAATTTTTCTCCCAGCAGAGCAATTTGTTCCTAGCTACGCTACTTAGGCTATTTAATCTATATCCTATAGATTATCTATATTCTGTGTAGTATATCTATACAGCCAGATGTGATCTGCTGGAAATTTTTCATAAAGTGAAGGAATCATTTTGTGAAGACATACAATGAAGATCTTGTGATTCTCAGACTAAAGAGAGCAGAAAAACACTAAAATGCTGTCAGGCAAAACTAAAACATGTCTAAATCACCAGTTTAATTAAATTGTTGCAAAGAAATGGCTGACTGTTCTCCCTGGATTATGCTCTTAATGGTGACAAGGCTAATGGAATCACCCCTAAATAAAAATACAGAAGGTGATTATAAGATGTGAACATTTTTTTTTCCTTCCAGAGGAATTAAACAAGTTTTATGGAATTAAATATACCTTTATACGATCCCAGGAGTTGCAACATATAAACATTTCAACTCCTGGTAAAAAGCATCCATAATTACTTCTACGTAAATATTTTGCACCACAGAAATGTACAACAGATACAATCCAATTTAATTAAACAGTTAAATTGCAGTTCATTTAGTGTAATTAAAAATGTTTATTTATTAGTACCTCATTCTCAGCTCTCAAGTTTGCAAATTCACTTTTTTCCAGAATAACCATATCTTTTCGAATGGAGTCCAAATGTGCCATTATCTGCTGTAAAGTTATTTCCTTAGAAACAACAACAAAAAGTCAATGATTAAGTTTCACGCTTTCCAATAAGAAAAGATTTAATGTTTAAACTTACGAAATTAGCTACAGCAAGGCATTAAAACATGAAGAGTCTCCAACAGGAAAGTGACAGAATCATAGAATTTCATAGCTGCAACTGTTTTTTGACAGACTTGAGAAAAGCAGACGGTGTTTTTTCCAGTTGCTTTTATGTTAACTCTGAATTTAAGCAAAAAAGCCAGAGGTATCTAGTCTAAGCATTTATGAAGTGAAACAAAAAAAATTCAGATTTGTCCTTCCATTTTCAATGAACGTTCAGTAGCCTATCAAACAAGTTGGCAGTTGGAATCCAGCTCCTAACTAAGCACTTACGGGCATCCACAGCTTCTCTGTCAGGGCAGCCTGTTACACAGCCTCCCCACCCTCTGAATGAAGAATTTCCTCCTTATATCTAATCTAAACCTACCCTCTTGTAGTTTTTAAAGCCATTCCCCCTTGTCCTATCACTGCAACTCCTGACAAAGATTCCCTCCCCAGCTTTCCTGCAGGACACTGTAGGTACTGGCAGGCTGCTGTAAGGTCTTCCTGGAGCCTTCTCTTCTCCAGGCTGAACAACCCCAACTCCCTCAGCCTGTCTTCACAGGAGAGGTGCTACAGCCCTCTCATCATCCATGTAGTTCTCTAGATTCGCTCTAATAATTCCATATCCTTCTTGGACCCCAGAGCTGAAGGCAGGGCTCCAGGTGGGGTCTCATGAGAGCACAGCAGAGGTGGACAGAGGGTATTCTTAGCATCACCTTGAGACCTAGCTCAGTAAGGTATTTGTAGTACTAAAGAGAGTTGCACTTGTCCTTCAAATATGCAAGCATGTGCCATTGTGCTTATACAGTGCTGAGTATTTATTTATACACACCATAAATAAGTTCTTACCTGCTGAGCCTGGGTAACCATATCCTTATAGACTGTGTCTAAACTGACATTTGACAGGGTGATTAACGCTGATACGATGGTCTCTGCTTGTTCTTTTGCGAAGCCTGAAAAACAGGTGAAGGATGAGAAATTAAGGTAACATTAGAAAGCTGGGTGACGAATAGGGCAAGAGGTCCATAAGAAATCGGGACACTCAAGTGCTGTACTTAGCTACAGTAGCAAACTGGGAAGTCACACAGTCACTGAAAACTGATGGTGAAAGCTGGTCGGTGTGACATGTTACTACGTAAAAAACAGACAATGCTGCAAAAACCTGAAGATCATTAACGTTCAATACACTGAAACAGTCTTTGCAAGCAGCTGATGGGTACTACCAAATTTCTGTACCGTGTTTAACTGCTCATGCATTATAAAAATAATTGAGCAAAATTTTACCTTATTATAAACCTTTGCAAATTCTACTAAACCCAAACTCACCTTTAGGCCATGCACCACGTATCCTACAGAATAATAAAATTAAAAGGTGAGTTTATATTCACCTGCATATATTCAAAGTTTCCTGTGCAGCTGTGAATACATGTAAAACTGATTTGAAAACTGCTGTATCCATTGACTTTACAATTCAGGCTGCAAGATGTGTGCTTTCTGAGGATAAAAATTACACTTTGTTGATAGCTCAGTGCAATTTTGAACTGTTTGAAGATGATGTATGGTAAAGAGTAGAAAAAAAAAAAGCTGCCATGTCAATTAAATCTGATTCAGTGCTGTGGGCTTGGACCCTAACAATCTATTTCCAGCAATCTCTCTGATGTGTTGTATTTCAGTTGCTCACTCCATTTCCCAGCTTGGGATCAATTAACTTTTCATTGAAATATGCTTTCAAGGCAAATTATTAAGAAAAACATCAGTGAACTCTTCTGAAGTACAGGACTCGAACTGTAACACTGGCTTGTATTACTTGTATTACAAAAGCTCTCATGCTTTATGACATTTTTCTTCCACTAAGAGGTGTGGTTGCATCGCTTCAGTTTCTCTGAATTTTCAGGGTTGCTTAGGTTCTTGCTATTTCTTTTGTTTTTCCTCTATTCTTACTTGCTGCTTGGAAGTTTAGAAAATGTGAAGAAATTCACACAGTGCAAGAGTTAAGACTCTGGAGCCTGAAAACTGCCTGCAGCAAGTCTGACAAACATTAAAAGCATCCCTTAGCTTTGTGATTTCTTTTACCTTTTTAAAGGTAAAAGAATTTTTTCACTTTTTTTTTTTTTTTTTTTTTTTTTACCTTTTTTGTGATTTCTTTTAACTGTTAACTTTACAGCCCTGTCACTGGAACTATTAATTATAACACCATATTACAGTCAATGTTGTTTTTGTGGAAAGAAGGAAAATGGGATGAAATATGGTATGTTGATTGATCTGTTGTTTCAGTATCTTGGAGGGAAAAGGTATGGAATTAAGTTGGCCCCTGACTGAGCCTTTGGTGTTGGCATTAGAAAACTACAGGCAGGAGAAAGATAAAAGAAGTGGTTTTTTTTTTTTTACCTTTTTTGTGTTTTCTTTTAGCTGTTACCTTTACAGCCCTGTCACTGTGATACTAAAGGGTCTGTTGTAGTTATGGAACAAATTAATAAATTGCTTTATAGCAGCAGACCAGCATCAGACAGACTTCACCTTACGTTCTAAAGGAACTAGACAGAGAAATAACTGAATTAGTACTCAGGACAAGTAACATCTAACAAGCTATCCTGGCTCCTCAAGTACTGGAAAGTGACAAATACAACATCAGTTCTAACAATAATTCCAGAAGAGATGTAAAGAACTAGGGGCTGACAAGTCAGACACACATGAAACAAACAAAAACAGAAAAAAAAATATTAGTGTACTATTAAGAGTCTTCTAGGTACTAAGACACATTATTCGTAGACCTTAACAGTGGAAAAAATCCTAACTCAATTGGATAAAGCTGCAGCTGTCACTTAGGAGAATGATCTTGGGATTGTAACCGAGAATTGATAGCCTGACAAAGACATCAGCTCAATGCTTAGGAGGATCAGCAGAGCAAACCAAACTTTAGGAATTACTTAGAAAAAAAAAATGCCAGCAGCTCTGTTCCTTCCCCTGTGAGGCAGCTTCTGCTTGGGAAAATCCAATGAACTAAGAATCTTCTGTTTGAAAAAAAATAATGATGGGGGAACGTGACATACATTTACGTAATCTTAAGTGACATGAGAGATCAAATATTCATTCCTCCTTCCTTCAAAAGGACTGAGGGGCATCAAATTAACACAGTGGAAGCCAGGTTCTACATAAACAAAAGGAAGTATTTTTCCACACATTGAGTGGACTTCTGAAACTCCATGAGAAAGGATGTTGTGGGTACTAACCGACCCAGAGTAGTTCAGGGGCTTAATGAACTTACAGAAGGAATTCCCTTGGAGGTCACCAAAACTCCTACCCAGCACAAAATACCTCCAAGGTGAGAGCAGTTGGAGGCCTAGAAGGTACGAGGGGATATGCCACTGATTTGCCCCATTTTTACACTCTTCTGCAGACAAGGACTTGCAGTCCTATAAGGGACAGAACCCTGGGCTAGACAGATCTTTCAGCTGACAACAGACAGACACATTCACTAAATAAAAAAACAGGTATTAAGGATGTATTATGCTCCTCAGCTGGAAGATACTATGCAAATTTACCTACAGCTACAAAAAAAAGGTAAATTTAATGTAAGATTTAATTTGTACTGGTTACAGAAGCATCAAAAAGTATCAGATGCCTAGCCTGCACCAGACTTTAGTACTAAAGTACTATAGTACTTTAATTCCAAGTTTTTCTGTGAATTATTTAACAGACATCACTTACCATGGGCTTCCAGATCCTGCACTAAGGCATGAGTATCAAAAGTCACTCTCCTCTGCTCCAGTGGAGTGATATCAACTCTTCTCACATCGTATGAATTCCTAAGGAGCGTGGCAGCAAAGCCTGGAAGTGACAAACAGGTATTTGAAACTTCACCCAGTTGGTTTATCATGCAATACAGTAATTTTCTTTCACCGTAGCAAAGCCACGTGGAAGTTGCAACAAAAAGCTGGGTCCTTTTGGTTCCCTGGTTACAGCACACATCTGAAGCCACCAGTCCTCTCTTTTCTTAGGGAATCTATACCACCCAGGACTCACACATCAATTTTAAGTGTGTTCCTATAACTAGAGAGCCGTGCAGGACAAGCATCCCGATACACAAGAAATAAAACTACCACAAGTAACAACAATAGGAGAAACCTGATTTAAGTGATGTTTCTCATCTTTTAAAACATGACCTTTCCAACACACTGGCAGTTTCTGCTGGTTACGGTTAACAATTATTTGGCTCTTCACAAAATCCCTCGACTATATTCTCTTTACACATTCTCCTACCGCTATCCAGCAGAGTGCCAGGCGTGCAGATAAAGGTACACACACATGACACAGATCTAACATTCAGGATTAATTTGTTGGTTCACCAGTAACTGGGTGAAAAAGCAATGCTGGTACCTAACACATCCTAGATCTCCTTAGATCAAGACCCACCCTGCTTATTATGTTAGTACCTTCCCACAGGATGCTTTTGGTTTCTCTGCCTTTATTTCAAGGATACTTTTCAGTTCATCTCATCACCATACACCTTGCTGATTGCATTCTGACAGAATCTTTGTTATCTAAAATGCTCTGTTACTTCTAAATGCACGCTTACTTGAAACCTCCCTGGCTCTCTCTGTTAATGAAACTGTTTTTTATTTAGGTGCTTACTTGAATGCTTTTTATCATTTAAACCAAAAGGAAGTTATGCTGTGACACTGATGGATAAGGTAAGTGCTACCTTTTATTGTCTCTAAAGAAGCGACTTAAACTAAGCTAGATGTAGTATCCAAATCAAAGTCCATGTTAGATTTAAGATGAGAGAAAGGAAAAAAAGCATGTTTACGTACATGAACTACATACAACTCATTACAAGTAACTCTAAAACTTAACACCCCTCCCATTGCGTCATAACAGCTTTCAATTATGGAGCTCTTTGTCTGCTAAATGTGTCGACTGATATTTTCTCCGGGATTACCAGGGCTTGCAGCGACAGAAGTGGCAATAGTTTTGCTGAAAGAGAGCATGTTTCAACTGGACTTATGCTAGATTTTTTTTTTTTTTAAACTATGAGGTGGTGAGGCCCTGTCCCAGGCTGCCCACAGAAGCTGTGGATGCCCCATCCCTGGAGGTGTTCAAGGCCAGGCTGATGGGGCTTTGGGCAACCTGGGCTGGTGGGAGGTGTAGGGAGGCTTGGAATTGAAGGTCTTTAAAGGTCCCTTCCGACCCAAACTGTGATTCTGTGACACGTCTGACACCGCCTATCTCAAAAGAGCTAAAATTACAGCACAAATCTTTTGGTAGCCTACGCAAGCTGCCAGCACTCTGAGCACACCTCTCCGTGCCCCTCCGCTACCTTCTACTGCTCCTCCTGCACCGCAGAGCTGCTGCCAGCCCCCCAGCTCCTGCGGGCACCTCCTCCCCCGGCAGCCGTTCTGCGCTCCCCCCGCAGAGGCCCCCACACCCCCTTCAGGGGGGCCGCCCGCACCGAGGGCCCAGCTCCCCCCCCCACGCCACCTCCACCCCGAGGCCCCCTCCTGCCGCCTCCGCCCCGCGTCACCGGGCGGCTCCCGGGGCTCGCCCGTCAGGTCTGCGGCTCCCAGCGGGCCGCGAGCCAAACCACGGCCCCTCGGCCGCCTCTCACCTCTGCGAGGAACCGGAGGGAGCGCGGCCCGAGGCGGCTGAGGCGGGAGCGGGGCCGGCCGGGAGGCGGCCCAGGAGGCGAGGAGCGCAGCGCGGCGCCCGCCGCCCCTCATCGCCGCCGTCAGCCGCCAGGCGCCAGGCACCGCCCGCCCGCCGCACCGCCCTCCTCCGCTCGGCCCCGCGGGCAGCGCTGGGAAGCGGAGTCCTCGGAGGGACGGCGAGCAGGGGAGGAGCCGCAGCGCAGAGAGCAGGAAGGGCTCCGGCCGCCGCTTTGGGCTGGCGGCGGGCTGCCCTCAGGCGCCATGGTGGGGTCGTCCCCGCTTACCAGCTCTGGTTATCGCCAGCAACTTTGGCTATATGCAGTGAAGAGTTACATATGCGTGAAGTTTCCCAATATGCCTGTACATATGCATAACCTATCCCCGCTTTGGGATTAAGCAAACCCCCATTCCTCTGTGAAATGCGTTCATCTGATTTGTGTCAATACGGAGCAATGCTAGGGCCGCATGATGTGATGAAATGTGACCTTCTGTCTTACATACCCTTGTATATTCGCCAATGATTTTTCCGGTGCTCTTCCTTTACTAGTGACCATAGCAAATTAGAGGGGATGACTAATTTCCCTTTCCCTTCTTCGGTAATAGCGCATCCCTCTTGGTTATACTCTCCCTTTTGACTTTTGATTAATTTTCTGTCCTTTTTGTTGTGTACTGGCTCACTTTCAAGGGGGATCTACCCATCTGGGATCAGGGCTCCCTCAGTTGCTACCTCATCTTATGCTGCTTCTTTTGCCTCTCTATCCGCCAGATTGTTTCCTTCCTCCAATTCTGAACTCACCTTCTGGTGTGCCTTAATATGCATGACTGCTACCTTTTCAGGTCGTTGGACCGCTTCTAATAAGAGCGTTATCTCCTTCGCATGTTTGATGTTTTTCCGTTGTGAGTTCGACAGTCCTCTTTCTTTCCAGATGGCTCCGTGTGCGTGCACAACACCAAATGCATACCTTGAGTCCGTATAGATGTTTATTTTCTTTTCTTTTGCTATTTCTGAGGCACGGGTCAGAGCAATTATCTCGGCCTTTTGTGCAGAGGTATCTGTTGGCAAAGGTCCAGATTCTATTACCTCTTTGCAAGTGATAATTGCATACCCAGCATGTTGTTTTCCGCTGATGATGTAACTGCTCCCATCAGTGAACCAGATTTCCACATCATCAAAAGGAACTTATGGCTGGAGTAGGTAGCTTCAATGGTCTCCAGGCAGTCGTGGTGTACTGGCTCCCCTTTGGTTTCCGCTGAGGAAAGAAGCTGGGTTGACAATGTTAGTTACCACTATTTCTATATCACCTACCGGGATAGCATGGTATTTCAGGAACCTTTGTGGGGAAAGCCAGTGACCACCTTTCGCTTCTGGCGCTACGGACACTGTGTGAGATACCAGCACAGTTATTTTCTGGCCCAAGGTGAACTTGTGTGCTTCCTGGATATTTTGCACCACTGCTGCAACAGCTCTGAGGCATCCCAGCCATCCCTTGGCAACAGCATCCAGCTGCTTCGAAAAATAAGCAACTGCCCTTCGCTATGGGCCCAGGTCCTGTGCTAGTATTCCCAGGGCAATCCCCTGTTTCTCATGGGAGAAGAAGAATGGTTTATTCACATCTGGAAGTCCCAGAGCTGGGGCTGACATGAGAGCCTTCTTTAGTTGAAAGGCCTCCTTTGTCCATTGGAGGTCCCTGTTCCCATTTGCAATGAGCACATACAGCGCTTTTACAAGCAGTTGTGGTGGTTTTACTGTGCTGGGCAGCTAAACACCACAACCGCTCTCTCACTCCCCCTCCTTAGATGAGGAGGGGGAGAAGTAAAGCAAAGAACAACTCATGGGTTGAGATAAGGATAATTAAAGGGAAATAACAATAATTAAGGAAAGATTATTATGAACTAAACAATTTAACTAAAGGGAAATAAAAAGGGAAAGGGGAAAAGGGAGGGGGAAAGAGAAAATAAAAAAAAAAAGGGAGGAAAACAAATGAATAAAACAAATGAAGGCTGTGTGGAAGTGCAGAGGAAAGAAATTACTCTCTACTTCCCACAAATGAGCGATGATTGACCATGTCCTTGAAGCAGGGCCTCAACGCACGTAGCCAGTGTTCGGGAGGAGGACCGACGTTTTCAGGAGAGCCCACCCCTCCCCTCTTCTTCCTGTTTCCACCTTTTATTGCTGAGTGTGACATCACATGGTATGGAATATCCCTTTGGTTGGTTTAGGTCAGCTGCCCTGGTGATGTTTCTCTTCTCACTTTTTGCCAACCCCCTAGGAGGGTTAGAGAAAGGCCCGATGCTGTGCCAGTGCTGCTCAGCAGTAGACACAACACTGGTGTGATAACACTGCTGTTCCAGCTACAAGTGCAGAGTACAGCTCTGTATGGGCTGCTGCAGGGAAAGTTAACATTCCAGCCAGACCCAGTACAGCAGGCCATAATTATAGATCCGCAATCTGCACCACCTCGTCATTCCCAAAAAAGGTTCGCAGTTCCTTTATTGTCTCAGGTTTCAGGGTTTGACATATTGCTTCTTTGTGGTCTTGCCCCAAGGCCCATTGTCTGGCACTAACTTCATAACCCAGGTAAATCACCTTCTGCTTTACCACCTGAGCCTTCTTCAATATCCTGTACCCCTGAAGTCCCAGAAAGTTTAAAAGGCTTACTATCCAGGCCACACAGGCTTCTTTTGTCTGGGTGGCTATTAGGATGTCATCTATGTATTGCAACAGTCTTCCTCCCCCAGGTGGGGCTTCCCACGGCTCCAAGTCCTTCATGAGTTGGTCTCCGAATAAGGTGGGTGAATTTTTAAAGCCCTGAGGCAACCTTGTCCATGTGAGCTATGTTTTGTGCCCGCTTTTAGGGCTTTATGTGCAGAAAGCAAACTCCACAATCAGTAGGATTGTAAAGTAGGTATGTTTATTTAGTGCTGGGCAGCACAGGGGGTAGTCCCACCAAAGTCGTGTGCACCCCAATGCAGCACTTGCCTTGGTTATATGTGGTGAAGAGTTACATATGCATGAAGTTTCTCAAGATGCCTATACATATGCATGACCTATCCCCGCTTTGTATTAAAATTAGTTCCAGGGATTTGTTTTCATAGATTTCTCCTATCCGTGCTTGCGCAGTGTTTTCTGGTAGTGGTCGCCAGGGGTCGTGGGGATGAAGATTAGTGAGTCTTCCTCGTCACCGCTGGTTGACCTCTCATCTCAGTGCAGACTCATAAGCTTCTCAGCTTCTGCTTAAACTGCAGATTCGGTTTCAGTTGGTTCTTGAAACGTGTTTCCTGTTTTCTATCAGGATCTGTTTTTCGTGAGGAGTCCCAGAATTTCCTGCCTCAGTTTCTTTGCACAATAGGGAGCAGAAGATACAGTACATGTCCTTTACCTGCCTTATTTACTAAAATTCTTTTGGCTTCCTTTCATATGCTCATTAGCCTATCTTATCTACTAAAATTCTTTCAGCCTCCTCTCAGTCCCCCCTTTTCGAGAGGATTAGTAAATTATTTCACTATTTTAATACAGTGTTTCTTTTGTCCGACATTCTCTCAAAGTATTCATTGGACTCCAATTTTTGTCTTAATTGATTCTTCTTCCTCACTATAGGAGTCTCCCGTATTCTTAACACCACAAGGCACATCGTAGTGGAGGACTGGTTAGTATTAGGTCAGAGGTTGGACTAGGTGATCTGGGAGGTGTCTTCCAACCTAGACAATTCTGTGATTCTGTGTGATTCTGTATTACTATGCAGAGTGCAATGGACAAAATCATGATTATGATTATTGTGACAAATAGCTGTTTCAGCCAAGTTAAATTTGGTAGCCAGGAAGCTGATTTTTCTAAAAAACCTGTAATCCTGCAGGAGGAAGCATTCTGAGCTATTACATGAAGGATTTTATTTTTTCCTAAATCTGTCTTGATCTGTTTTTGCTTGTTTACATATACACAACAAGTCTGATTTATTACTGTACATAGTCTCCCTTTCTTAGCTAAAAGCATGTCCAGTCCCATTCTATTTTGGAGCATCACTTTATGTAGGGACGAAACCTCCTCTTGCAATGCTGAAAGAGCATCAGCTGTAGCATTCTTAATGGCTTCTAGTGTGGCTGAAATATTTACAATAGCTTTCTCTAATTCACTCACTCCCAAAGATGGGATCAACCATCTAATGAAACTGTGGAACCCTGTGGGCCTTATTACAAGGGGATTATCTGGGGACAGCATGGGTCTGCCTCCATAAAGTCTGAATTATTCCTGGGGGCAGGTCAGTACCTCCTCATGGGTTAAGATAGCCTCCGATACAATGACCTTCCCAATTTGGGAGGAGGCTTTTTCCGGGCGTGTCTGTCTCCACACAACCAATAAAACCCCTTCTGTAACTTGAGAATTTGTGTGACTCTTGCACCCGACTCTTTAATTTCAGTAAGAATAAAAATTCCCACGTTCTGACATGTTACAACTATCAGGTTCCTGGGCTAGCCAACTAAGTGGACCTGTACCCAGGCATGGGAACTTGTCATTTAAGCATTAACTTTCCCACATGGGAGTAATTCAGATTTCTCACCTAAATATCCATGATCATCATCCTTACCAAACGGACATGTTCCATTTCTTGGGTGTGCAAAGGTTAGCGTCCGATTCATACTGGGTATTCCCCATACAGGAAGTTCCAGGTTACCCTTAGTCAGTTGTGTACATACCTAACAATCAGAAAGGTTAAAGCTATTGCTTACAGCTTGGGTGAGTTTCACATAAGTCACACTGTTCAGTTTCCTGATTCAATAATATCATTAAGACCACAAAAAATGTATTTTTCCAGGCTTCACCTGAGTAACCTTCCATGGAGTCCTGGGAGCCTTTTCCACTCTGGTGTGATGAATCCAGGCATTTTGCTCCTTAATCTTGATTGCCGTGAAAGAAGTAAGGAGCACTTGAAATGGTCCCTCCCACTGTGGTTTCAAAGTTTTTTCTGCAAGAGACTTTACATACACACAATCCCCAGGCTGTACATCATGCACCGGCCCGGCTAGTCCTCTACCCTGAGTCCCACTTACATGTTTTCCAGTCTCATTCAGCTGTTTGCCCAAGGCCACCATATAGGATGTCATAATTTCATCCCCAGCTTGCATGGATATTCCTCTTTGTATTCCATAGGGTCATTCATATAAGATTTCAAAGGAGCTTAGCCCTTCCTTTGCCCTTGATATACGCAAAAGAGCTAAAGGAAGAGACTGAGGCCAGACCAAATTTGCTTCTTGTCCCAATTTCACAATTTGCTATTTGATTAAGTGGTTCATTTTTTCTACTTGGCCATTCGACTGAGGGCGATATATGGTATGAAGTTGCCAGTGTATACCCAAATGGCAGCTAATTTGTTGTACCACTTTTGCCCATGTCAGAAGATATAGTTGCTGGAACTCCAAAATGAGGTATTATTTCTTGTGTCTTAGTTACCTCCCGAGCCTTGGCTGTTCTAGTCAGGAATGCTTCTGGCCATCCTGAAAAGGTGTCAGTTAATACCAATAAATACTGGTACTGTCTGGAGCTTGATTCCTGTCTGTGGTTTACTTTTCAGCTTCCCAGGATGCTTTATTTTGTTCTCCAATTACCTTTCAATTTAATATCACAACTCTCTCATCATTCATTTGCATTAAACCTGTAAGTAACATTTTCCGTTTACATCTTAGAATATTCTACTTCATTTTCTAAAGCTTTTGTTAATGCCTGGTTTTCTGTTCCTGGTACTAGTGCCAAAATTTGACTCTCAGATGCCCATTCTGCCACCCTTTTGGCTCCTGCATCAGCCAATCTATTTTCCCTTTCAACATCAGTATCCCCTGCTTGATGTCCGTTAATGTCAACTTTAGTAGGCAGGTATACCACTTGGAGTAATTTCAGTATATCTTCTGCATGTTTAATTGAGGAAGATAAAAGTCCTCTCTCCTTCCGAATTGCCCCGTGTGCATGCACCACAACAGTCATATTTCAAATCTGTTCAAATGTTTACCAGCTCAAAAGCTCTTATCAAGGCTTCAAGATCACAGTGCCCAAATATGGTGGGGCTATTCTTGAACCGCTGTGGTAGCACAGTCCAAGTAAGCTGAGTTTTCCGTCCTTTGATAGGATTTTCCCATTCAAAGGCAAAGAGTTTCTGGTTTTCAGTTGCCACAGGCAGGCAGGAAAAGGCATCCTTTCAATCTAGTACCATGAACCAAACTTGACTGTTTTTGTAATTCCATTCATTTTTCCCAATTTAAATTTCAAGCATTGCAAAAAATGCCTTTTCCTGTTGGCCAGTTGCTCCTATTACATTTATAGACTAATTAACACAGAGAAAGAAGCTCCCTTAACCAACAAAAAATTCAAGCCTCTCTCTTCGTTCCCTAGCTTTTTTTCAACCAGTGGACCTGCTAGGCTAGATGCCCCAGGTCCCTGTCATTCCTGACTGTTGTAAGTTTATCCTGCAACCTAAGACAATTTCTTTCTGACATCAGGGGCTGATTGCCCTAGAAAGAGGCTAGCCGATTGCTTCTGTTTGTTTTCTGAAGCCAGGTCCAAATTTCTGTTTGTTTGCTTTTCTGTGTGTGTGGTGTTTTTTTATATATATTGATTATTATTATTACTTTTTCTTCATTACATTTCAAAGTTGGTCCAGAAATTCCATAGGAGTTTCTTTTGGACCTTGTTGGAACACATTCTCAATTCCCAATTTAACCAGATTTTAGTATTTAATTTCCAGGATGATTAGGGTCTCAGTGGGAGTTCGGTCAGGGGGATACAATCGTTGACAGTTCCCTGAGCGGTCCCATTGGCAATCTGAGCTCACACATGAACTCAAGTTGTTTTAAGAGTTAGCTGTTCCATGACAACTCTCTCAGACCCATCATGATCCTTCTGCCCCAGAAGGCTCACACCTGTGATTTTGAGATTTCCTACATCCTCTTTCCCTGCTCATTCAACTACAAACAGCTCTGTTAAATACTACATGCCACACCTTTAACACCTTCAACAACCCTTTTAACACTTCTTTTATCTTTCTCCTGCCTGTAGTTTTCTAATGCCAACACCAAAGGCTCAGTCAGGGGCCAACTTAATTCCATACCTTTTCCCTCCAAGATACTGAAACAACAGATCAATCAACATACCATATTTCATCCCATTTTCCTTCTTTCCACAAAAACAACATTGACTGTAATATGGTGTTATAATTAATAGTTCCAGTGACAGGGCTGTAAAGTTAACAGTTAAAAGAAATCACAAAAAAGGTAAAAAAAAAAAAAAAAAAAAAAAAAAAAGTGAAAAAATTCTTTTACCTTTAAAAAGGTAAAAGAAATCACAAAGCTAAGGGATGCTTTTAATGTTTGTCAGACTTGCTGCAGGCAGTTTTCAGGCTCCAGAGTCTTAACTCTTGCACGTGTGAATTTCTTCACATTTTCTAAACTTCCAAGCAGCAAGTAAGAATAGAGGAAAAACAAAAGAAATAGCAAGAACCTAAGCAACCCTGAAAATTCAGAGAAACTGAAGCGATGCAACCACACCTCTTAGTGGAAGAAAAATGTCATAAAGCATGAGAGCTTTTGTAATACAAGTAATACAAGCCAGTGTTACAGTTCGAGTCCTGTACTTCAGAAGAGTTCACTGTTGTTTTTCTTAATAATTTGCCTTGAAAGCATATTTCAATGAAAAGTTAATTGATCCCAAGCTGGGAAATGGAGTGGAGCAACTGAAATACAACACATCAAAGAGATTGCTGGAAATAGATTGTTAGGGTCCAAGCCCACAGCACTGAATCAGATTTAATTGACATGGCAGCTTTTTTTTTCTACTCTTTACCATACATCATCTTCAAACAGTTCAAAATTGCACTGAGCTATCAACAAAGTGTAATTTTTATCCTCAGAAAGCACACATCTTGCAGCCTGAATTGTAAAGTCAATGGATACAGCAGTTTTCAAATCAGTTTTACATGTATTCACAGCTGCACAGGAAACTTTGAATATATGCAGGTGAATATAAACTCAGCTTTTAATTTTATTATTCTGTAGGATACGTGGTGCATGGCCAAAGGTGAGTTTGGGTTTAGTAGAATTTGCAAAGGTTTATAATAAGGTAAAATTTTGTTCAATTATTTTTATAATGCATGAGCAGTTAAACACGGTACAGAAATTTGGTAGTCCCATCAGCTGCTTGCAAAGACTGTTTCAGTGTATTGAACGTTAATGATCTTCAGGTTTTTGCAGCATTGTCTGTTTTTTACGTAGTAACATGTCACACCGACCAGCTTTCACCATCAGTTTTCAGTGACTGTGTGACTTCCCGTTTGCTACTGTAGCTAAGTACAGCACTTGAGTGTCCCGATTTCTTATGGACCTCTTGCCCTATTCGTCACCCAGCTTTCTAATGTTACCTTAATTTCTCATCCTTCACCTGTTTTTCAGGCTTCGCAAAAGAACAAGCAGAGACCATCGTATCAGCGTTAATCACCCTGTCAAATGTCAGTTTAGACACAGTCTATAAGGATATGGTTACCCAGGCTCAGCAGGTAAGAACTTATTTATGGTGTGTATAAATAAATACTCAGCACTGTATAAGCACAATGGCACATGCTTGCATATTTGAAGGACAAGTGCAACTCTCTTTAGTACTACAAATACCTTACTGAGCTAGGTCTCAAGGTGATGCTAAGAATACCCTCTGTCCACCTCTGCTGTGCTCTCATGAGACCCCACCTGGAGCCCTGCCTTCAGCTCTGGGGTCCAGGAAGGATATGGAATTATTAGAGCGAATCTAGAGAACTACATGGCTGATGAGAGGGCTGTAGCACCTCTCCTGTGAAGACAGGCTGAGGGAGTTGGGGTTGTTCAGCCTGGAGAAGAGAAGGCTCCAGGAAGACCTTACAGCAGCCTGCCAGTACCTACAGTGTCCTGCAGGAAAGCTGGGGAGGGAATCTTTGTCAGGAGTTGCAGTGATAGGACAAGGGGGAATGGCTTTAAAAACTACAAGAGGGTAGGTTTAGATTAGATATAAGGAGGAAATTCTTCATTCAGAGGGTGGGGAGGCAGTGTAACAGGCTGCCCTGACAGAGAAGCTGTGGATGCCCGTAAGTGCTTAGTTAGGAGCTGGATTCCAACTGCCAACTTGTTTGATAGGCTACTGAACGTTCATTGAAAATGGAAGGACAAATCTGAATTTTTTTTGTTTCACTTCATAAATGCTTAGACTAGATACCTCTGGCTTTTTTGCTTAAATTCAGAGTTAACATAAAAGCAACTGGAAAAAACACCGTCTGCTTTTCTCAAGTCTGTCAAAAAACAGTTGCAGCTATGAAATTCTATGATTCTGTCACTTTCCTGTTGGAGACTCTTCATGTTTTAATGCTTTGCTGTAGCTAATTCCGTAAGTTTAAACATGAAATCTTTTCTTATTGGAAAGCGTGAAACTTAATCATTGACTTTTTGTTGTTGTTTCTAAGGAAATAACTTTACAGCAGATAATGGCACATTTGGACTCCATTCGAAAAGATATGGTTATTCTGGAAAAAAGTGAATTTGCAAACTTGAGAGCTGAGAATGAGGTACTAATAAATAAACATTTTTAATTACACTAAATGAACTGCAATTTAACTGTTTAATTAAATTGGATTATATCTGTTGTACATTTCTGTGGTGCAAAATATTTACGTAGAAGTAATTATGGATGGTTTTACCAGGAGTTGAAATGTTTATATGTTGCAACTTCTGGGATCGTATAAAAGTATATTTAATTCCATACAACTTGTTTAATTCCTCTGGAAGGAAAAAAAAATGTTCACATCTTATAATCACCTTCTGTATTTTTATTTAGGGGTGATTCCATTAGCCTTGTCACCATTAAGAGCATAATCCAGGGAGAATAGTCAGCCATTTCTTTGCAACAATTTAATTAAACTGGTGATTTAGACATGTTTCAGTTTTGCCTGACAGCATTTTAGTGTTTTTCTGCTCTCTTTAGTCTGAGAATCACAAGATCTTCATTGTATGTCTTCACAAAATGATTCCTTCGCTTTATGAAAAATTTCCAGCAGATCACATCTGGCTGTATAGATATACCACACAGAATATAGATAATCTATAGGATATAGATTAAATAGCCTAAGTAGCGTAGCTAGGAACAAATTGCTCTGCTGGGAGAAAAATTGTGGAAGAGTAATCACTTATGTGCAGCAGTAACACAGAACTGATTGGCTCAGCCAGCATTTTTCTGACTTTACTAAAAACTTTTTTTCCTCTTCATCTAGAAAATGAAAATTGAATTAGATCAAGTTAAACAGCAGTTAATGGTGAGTAAACAGCAAGTAGCTATACACTCATGCTGGGGGAAGTAAATAGTTATTTTCTTGATCTTTTTTTTTGTTCTACAGAATGAAACCGGTAAAATCCAAGCTGACAGTAAGCTAGATATAAACCTGGAGAGGAGCAGAGTGACAGATATGGTAAGCTGGTCAATGAAGATACTCTGCCCAGTTTTATGTCATTTTGTAATGACATAAATTATAATTTATCTTTATCTACAATTGTAATTTATCTTTTATCCACAGTTTACAGATCAAGAAAGGAAATTGATGGAGGCAACTACAGAGTTTCATAAAAAAGTAAGTAGTGAATAAAAGCCATTTTATATTGAGCAGGATAGTTATACATTACATGTTGCATGAACACACAGCTTTTGAGAAGCTTAATAAATACTTGAATGTAGTAAAACAAAATGTCAGCATGTATCACATACGCATGTTGTACGTGATTATTGCTTCAGTGTGGGGGATTTGTGCAAAACATCACCCAAGCAGAAGGCATACGAGACTTGTTCCCTCCCTTCCAGAGTGCCTTTGTGTAGGCTGTTACAGGTGGGCATGCACCAGCATGCTGCTCTCCCCAGTGCTAAGGGATGAGCTGGTCAGCCCTGCCAGTGGGATGGTTCAGCCAAGCAAGCCAAGCAAGTTTCAAGGGCTGGCAGTCTTTAAAACCTCCTGGAAGGCACTGAAGTCTAAGAGGCTGATGATGGACGTTTCCCATCTTCAGCATCTCATCCATTTCCCAGATATGGCTCGTGAATTCTTAAAACTTTGTTCAGCAAAAATTCAGGGGTACTATCTGCACATTGTAGAATGCCTCCTTTAGGAGGCACTTGGCAAATCAGAGATAAAACTTAGGTCGTACAGATTTTTTTTCTCTTTTTCTATCTCCATCCTTAATATCCTTCCTGGATTGTATTAAATGCTGTTCTGTGTTTTCGAAGGTCACTTAGGTATTAAATATTTTACTTCACTGATAGGTTGGAAATTTCTCTTTCTTCTTGCTGGTAGTATGGTATTCCTGTTTGGTTTTGCAAAGCTTGAGATCATTGTCAAATATATGCCCTGTCTTAATGTTTCAGGATTCAAGTACCAACAGCGTTATTTCAGAAATCAGTAATAAAATTGACACTGAAATAGCTTCCTTAAAAACACTGATGGAATCAAATAAACTGGATACGATACGTTACCTGGCAGGTATGTGATAGGCAAGGAGGTGAGTGCCAGTGGAGTATTTTGGATGTGTACGTTTTTTTTCAAGACTTACTCAAGATTACTCGCCAAGTGAATTCAAAAAGTCAGCTGCGCAGCAGCTGATAACTCGAATTTGGTGGGGGCTTCCCCCCCGCCGTGATTGAAAGAAATGGAACACAGAGCACAGAAGAGGTGAGAACACAACAAACGCTGCAGTTGGTGTATGATTGTGCCCCAAACCGGGATTAGGAGGACCATGGACATTAAAATAAATAAAGAGATTGGGAAAGAAATCAAAATACCCTGTCTAGTCTGACAGTTTATGTGGCAGGATTGCTTCAAAAGTTTTCCAGAGATTGCTTGAGAATGTTAGCAAGCTTTGAGGATTAGCCTGAGAGTGAGCAGTTCCATCTCCCATTCTGACTTCCACACAGTTTCGCTGTGGCAGTACTTTGTAGAGTTCCTCTACAAAGCAGAACAAATTTAAGTCTGATTTGTGATGGAGTTTTCAATGTGTAACCAATGAAATCTGTATTTCATTTGAGCTGGATAAGAAGACAGTTACACATTATATTCGGAAGTAAGAACAAGTTCAGAGGGAAACCTACTTACATTTGGAAAAGAGAACAAGTTCAGAGGGAAAACACTGGTTCAACAAATCTGGAAGACAGCTCATCAGACTTCAGAGATGATACCCTAGTGTCATGTGAAATGCGTGTTGTCGTTTTGCTCAGTGGAAAATCTTTTTAATCGTGTTTAATGAAAGACTTGATACAGCCTTCTATTCTGTAATACAGTTACTGATAGATGGGCAACAACAGTAAAAATCACTGTAGTCTGTTGTGCTCTGTTATCCACCGTGACTCAGATGTGTTCCTGAAAAAATGGTTCTGCAGGCTGCTGAGTAGTTTGACCTCCTGTCTCACTGCCTAGGCAGTGCTACCATGCAGGATGCTGCACCTGAGACAAGTCATTGTTTTCCAGCATTTTCACTACTGTAACAATAGAGGAAGTTTCAGAAGCAGTACTTTAGATATCCTTCTATATGTTTGCAGTTAATTTCCTGTATTTAAAAGGTGATATGATTTAACATTCATCTAATTACTACTTTTTTTTTTTTTTAACAGCTTCAGTATTCACTTGCTTAGCAATAGCACTGGGATTTTACAGGTTCTGGAAATAGATCTGAATGGAACGAGTGCATCAAATACAGCTGGAGAAAAGGCCACCCAAGCAACATCAAGTAGATGATCACAGTTGAGCTTAGATAACTTTGGTACCTTTTTGTTTTGATACTCTTAGTGTGCACTGAAGTGTTTTCTGACTTTGTAACACTAAAGATCAAAATAATTGAGTGCGGAGCAGGCAAAGTAATAGTAATATTTCATTGTCCGCTATTGAATAATGTATTTATTTCAAAAGATTCCCTATATAAAATCAGCAAGTGTTTCCTAATAGGTTTTAGAATCAAGTCTGTTGTATTTTAGAACACTTCCAGTGCTCTCAGCTCCACTCAAACTGGAGATACTAAACACTTGACATACCCATGAGAATATGGGACTACTGTTTCTAAATTAGTATTACCAACACAGGAGAATTCCAGCAGATCTACCCTGACCAAGCAACGTAATCTGAAAAATAGGAGCTGGATGTTTGCTTTTAGTCTGTGCTTGCTTTTTGTGATGGGTTGAAGCTTGGCCCTTTGGTTTTCTATTTTCATATTTAAATATGAATATATACATATTTATATATATATATAAACACACTCCAAGGCCTGTACTAAAGAATCCTTGTTCTTCTTGAAAAATGGTTTACATACAGTTAAAATCTCATGTAAAATGAAAATGTATCTACAGATGCAGTTATTTTTAATATCTCTTACAATCTCTGTAACCCCAGTGGCCAGTTCTCCAGTGGGATAATTTCTGTCCTCCTCTTTCTGAGGGGAAATGCCTCTGTTCTCACCAACTGCATACAGCCCAGGGGCTGACAAGTGCTCTTAACTCCTCCCTTCAAGGAGTACCAAGTATTTCCAATAAAAAGTTGTGTGTTTTCTGGATATCAGATCGGACTTGTGGCACAGAAACTCAGCACCTCAGGTAGTGCCATTGTGGCTCTGGTTGTCCTGCTCCCATCTCCATGCTCCTCTGGAGTGGTCCGTAATGCTGTGAGGCAGGCTCAACCTTCAGGTGGTGATGATCCCTCCTCTGCTTTCTGCAAGGCCTTCACAGCTCTAGTTCCAGAGATGGGATGTAAAGGGTGGATGCCTTCCCTGAAGCAGTCACATCTTGAGTACAAATGCCTATGCTTAGGTAGATTTCTTTTAATAGTAATAATAAAAAATAAAAAAGCCCTTGCTGGACTAAACTTTATCAGAGTAAGCCCTTTATGGGGTACAGAGTTTATAGTGCTGTATAGTGGCAACTTTTGTATTGCGGTTCTGTTTGCAATTGAACTTGCTGCTATCCTGCAAGTTCTTGTATTCTGTGCATGACATTATGTATTTACCATCTACATTTATGAAAATAAAATTAATCTCTTATATTTGCTGTCTGAGAGACTTTAATACAGATTACCAGATTGTAAAAATGTGGGGTCTATAATGAGCACAGTGCTGTTGTGTTGAGACATGAGGCTGTTTTTTCTGTTGTGCTAGTGACATAGGCACAGGAGCCAGCAGCAAGAACTTCAGGCAGTGACTTGTCTCTTGTAACTGTTGCATATACAAATCCATCCTAGTATGAGCTATAACTATTTCTGAAGTTCGCTGAAAGACCTGTGTTCATCTTTTGCACTGTTCCTACATGAGAATAGCTCCAGCAGTGATGTATGAAATTTTATCTACTACAGCTTCCTACCACCATCACCCCCTCTACACCTTGAGGAGGGCTCTGGAGACTGTTTTTCTCCTCTTTGTAACAAGGCTTAGGTTGTTCTGTTGCATGCCTCTCCCCCAGTCTCTTGTGTATGCACACAAATACAATTTGATTTTTTTCCAGTAACTTCAAAACTTGCAGAGATTGTTCCTTAGGTAGCTAAGAGAAGACAGATGAGGATTCAAGCACTAGCAAATTACCGTCTATAATACAAAGATTTATTGGAACAGAGACAGCCAAAATGTTAATGCATGGTGGGAGCTCCAGAGGAAAATAACTTCACAATAGCATGCAGATAGGAGAAAAAAATCTGTATTATATGTAAAGCCATTAAATGTTTTTTTAGGCAGGGATGTCAGGATTGCTATTTCTAACCACAACATGCCCTGTAACCTAGTGACATCCTCAGCCTTGATTTAGAGTCGGGGGCTCACCCCTGCAGTTTATCTGGCACCTCACAAAGGAATAGCTTCAGGGCTTATTTAGGAATGGCTTGAAGGTGGAAAGTGAGGGGCCTGGCACCTGTCCCCGCAGTTCAGCAAGTACTCGTCCCAGACACTGCTTCAGGACCATGTTGCTGCGTCTGACTGAGGTCCCATGACATTGGTGCAGTTTTCTCTCAAATGCTACAGTTTGTAAAACTCTTAACTACTACCTGGACAGGAACAGAAGTCTGACAGTGTGGTTTTTTTTTTATTTTTTTATTTTTTTATTTTTTTATTTTTGTTGTTTTGGTTTGTTTTTTATGCTGTTGCAGTGATCTAACAGCATATTCTATGCCAGAAAACTAGGAGAGTAGTTCAATGAAATTCAGTGAACCACAGCACATCTGTGGAACTGGGCTTCGCAAACACTTTGCACGGTGTAAAATATTGCCACTACCTCCTCAGGTCTTCCAGCCGCTTGTCTGATGTTCAGTCCTCAGCGCGGTCTCACAAACACTCTGCCAGAGTTGCAGGCTGGTTTCTTCTTTACTTTCTTTTTCTCTTTGTGAGGATTGGAGATAGTTTCAGTTTTCTGAAACAAAGGATGTTACAGCCATTAAACAGCCATCACTGAAACTTGCTACCTCCCAAGACAGGCTTTAGAAATCCATGGCTTTAATAACCACAGAATACTGTATTTGTGCTGAAGCTGGGGTAGAATATAGTGGCAGGGCATGAGATAGCAGTCACAGCAAGGATGCTCACACCTCAAACTGTCATCCATGTATTAACCAAGAACTACATCCATGTATTAACCAAGAACTATTTAAACTGCTTGTGCTCTTATCTGTGGGATAATCTGACTAACCACAATTCTTGTGCTTGTAACCTCTCTGCACTGAGATGTTTCAGGGTACAAGTTTTTTTTTGTTTGTTTGTTTGTTTTCCTGCAGTTCAGAAGTCCTGCTCTTCAGCCCCATTAGCCAGAAGAATCCAATACCCTGGAGGGAAACTGGGTTCCTTTGATGGGGCCAAAAAAGCACTCTGCATTTGAAGGCCCATTCCCAAATCAGATTTACAGGTGTGCACTGATAATTACATCTAATCCATTTCTAAAATCTAATCTAATCCATTTCGAGCTTAATTATCCTTGTTAGAAAGTTGCTGTCAATCCTCTTACTGCCCAAGGATGTCTCAGCCTACGCCTTGAAACCTGAGTGAGAAGACTGGGAACATTGCAACTAACAGCACATTCACAGCTGATTTTCTACTTACAGCTGATTATTTCTGTTATAAGTTGCCCCCTTAATTAATTTTCAGAGAGCATTGCATTAATAATAGAAAGGAATTTATTGAGTAAGCAACAGCAAGCAAAACAGCGCTGGGTGGCCGGGGAGTCTCAGCTCCGCCAACGGCGCGCACCTCACCCCCGCCAGGGTCCCTTTTTATATCTTGGTAATTCCGGGATTATGCGGCACATCCTGGTATATTCTGCGACTGCGCGCGCTGTTGCTAGGGGGTCGTCTCTGTCCCTCTGGTGGTCGTGAAGATGAAGGCCGTAGTCTTCCTCGGCGTTGTGGTCCAACTTCTTTTTTTATTTGGTCATGTTGGCCCAGCGTGAGACAGGAAGGCAAGATGTTGATACACTAGTTTAACAACTTATCAGGAGATGGTTACATGAGCTTTGCAGCAGTGTCTTTAAACAAAAGAGACAACTGAGATGCAGAATGAGAGAAGGGGGTGGGGGGGGGTGTCTCTTTTTTTGTTACATTAAGCAAAAGAATTTTCATAGTGTCTAGCCAAGCATTATATTATACAGCTCCTTACTTCAGCAGGGAGTTTTCACAACTCCCGTTCCTCAAACAGAACTCCTTGTTTTTATAATACAAAAGACAATGAACAAACATTTATTGTGTATTACAATCCCTCCTTTTTCTTTTAGTTACTCATTTTGTTCATTGAATCTCGGCAATGCCTGGCTACTAAGAACTAATGTTTCCTCGATTCCTTCGTTGGTACTTATTGGCTCGTATCTGGCATGTATGAGCATTATATGTGCCGCTTCTAAATATCCCTTTACAATCGCAATCAATTTATTAAAAATACATGGTCCAAAAGTTAGTGCTATTATTAAGAACAACAAAGGTCCTGTTATTGTTGATAATAAAGTAGTAAGCCAAGGTGAATAATTAAACCAAGATTCATACCAGTTCTGTCGGGCTTCATTCTCCCGTTTCCTTTTTTTTTTCAGCCCTTCCCTGGGTCTTGCCATTGTATCTCTTACCTCTCCAGTGTGATCAGCATACACACAGCATTCCTCTTTCAGGGCTGCACACAGCCCGCCCTGTTGTAAAAAATACCAAATTTAATCCCCTACGATTTTGTAACACTACCTCTGAAAGCGACCTGATAGATTTTCCAGGGCTGAGATGGATTGTTCAATTTGGGTCAGGTCCTCGTCCACAGCAATGCATAAGGAAGTAAATTCTTGATTTTGTTTAACCAATGAGGCTACCCTGGTCCCCACTCCAGCTCCTCCCAGGATTATTAGGGTGGCCAAAGTTAGAGCCGTGAATGGTTCCCATCTTTCCAGATGATGACTTTCCACTGTGTCTGGGTGTACATATAATCCTCAGGGTGGTATAGAATCCTTGGTATAATTATCACCTGTATACAGAAATCACGAGACACATTAAAGAGTTTTAGTGATAGACAAGGAGTTATGCCCACTCACAAACAAACCCACCTAGCGTTGTTGGCTGGGATTAACCACTCGGCTGATTGTTTTCCATTCTCCATGATATTACATAGGTGACACTTCCCACTAGGAACCGTGCACACACACCTACCACCTCCAGTGACTTGTGTTAGTGTTACCCTTATGTCTTTTCCCCAACTGCATTGTAGAGGGTTGTTCTCGTTTGTGCGGGAGGGCTCCCCAGGATTCCCGATAGCATCATAATATGAAGGCCTTATACTAAAGCATAATCAACAGTGTTTTGTTACATTTGGGTTTGTTTTGTTTAATAATTGGTAGCTGGCATTCATGACCCCCCCATATGTTATTCTCAGCTATGTTATCATTCTCGGCTTTACCTGAGCTCGTAGGGCTGCCGAGGGTTGGAAGTGTAGTATTTTCCGCAGGCTGGATTCCCTGGACATTTTCTGACAATACCTCATTTGGTCCTACTGCCTGGGGCCTATCGGCATCCTCCTTTTTATTAGTATGAGTCCTCCCCTATCTGTTCTGTGTTTGTAAAATCTGACACCTCACATTTTTCCTAGTACCCAGCTAGTATCATCCAAGTTTGTTATATTTATATATAGAACCTTGCAAATTTCTTTATTTCCATGAAAGGTTCCTGTATACCCTATACCATGCCCTCACCACCTGTAACGGGGACGTGCTTGTTGGTTACAACCTTGCGGCCCATATCCCACTTGTAAGAATTTATTCCGACCAGCCCCGAGTGTCCAGTCCATAGCAATGGTTTCACACCCCCAGTATGCACAATAATACATGTTCGGGTAATTACAGTACCCCTTTCCTGGGTTAGAACTTGGGCAGAAACAAAATCCTGATCAGTTAAAGCATGGCTGCACTGACACCAGGTCACATAATGTGATGCAGAAACTGGGAGCACCTGCTGTCGTTGTTTGCTGGATGACGAATTGATCCTTCCATCTGATCAAGCTCCATTTAAAAGGCTGATGGGGATGCGCAGACCCATAGCTGACCAAAATGATGATACTGACTCCCATGTATCGTAGGAGGTGGTTGGAGCCCATCTAAATTGTCGGCCCCTCAGTCCCCCACCGTTTTCACTTCTCTGCCTCGCTTGTTAGTTCGGTTGCAGCGAACTACAAGGTATCGGTTCTTCTTGGCAGCAGCAGTGTTCTTCAGGGGAACCTACTAGGGAGCTTTTGAAACAGGGCCTCCTCCCCTTCCCACGATACACAGATAATATAAAATACTTATCGAGTCCGTCTTAGTGTCAGCTTCAAGTCGTCAGGGCCTGGAGCTGCCTCCCATTTACCTTCCCGGATTGGTCCTTTCACACGGCTGGCATGCGTCCATCCTTTCTCCGCAGTTCGAACAGCCGTTTCTGTGGTAAGCAAAACAACATAGGGGCCTTCCCCATCGTGGTGTTAAAGCAGTCTCTTTCCAAGTCTTAATTAGAATTGAGGGTGATCAAGTGGCAATTCCAAGTCATAGGGCATACCATACAGCACTTCAAAAGGAGAAATTCCTACATCAGTTCTGGGCTGTGTCCATATGTTTAACAGTGCAAGGGGTAAGCATTTTACCCAAGAAGTTTTAGTTTCCAGCACAAGTTTTGTTAGTTGTTTCTTAATTTCACCATTCATTCGCTCTACCTTTCCAGAAGAGGAGGGGTGCCAGGGGCTGTGAAAATCCCACTCAATCTCTAAGGCCTGCTTTAATCCTTGCAGTAAAGCTTTACACCCATTCAGTCACGTGGTCAGTTAGGACAAACAAGTAACTCAGTAAAGTCTACCTGGATACTTTGGAAAGGTCAAAGCCCTGGCTCCCGTCCCCCTCTAGATAGGTTACAGAAGACCTTTTTATTTACCCTTTGACATATAGTAGTACATCCTCTACATGTGTGCTTCTCTAAAGTATATATTCCTACACAGACATGCTTTCTTAGAACAACATCACACATTGCTTGCACCTCCCAATGACTCTTCTGATGTAAAACAGTTAATATTTGCCTCATTATCACTTTATTCAGCATTTCTCTCCCATCAGGGAGTATCGATTTTCCTTAAAATGATCCACATATTTGTAACATTAATACCTCCTTGGGAAGTTGTAATTGCTCCAAAATATTTTTTTAGAATTTACCCAAATAGATAGGTGGCCCTGTAAACCCCTGAGGTAAAATTGTCCATCTATATTGTTGCTTTCACCCCCATTTCAGGGTCTTTCCAGTCAGAGGTGAATATACATGTATGTTTGCTCTCAGGGCCAGAGAGCACTCCATTAATAACACTGTTATTCCAGTCTAACAATTTACTAGTTGAATGCCCAATTTAATCATCAAATCCCTTCCCAACAAGTTAGTCTCTGCCTTGGATACATACAATAATTGCCCAGTGATCATTTTATCCCCTAGTCTCAGATTGGTATCCCCCAAAAGTGGCACTGTTATCCCAGTCCCTTCAACCCCCATCACATTTAGGGTTTCATTAGTTAATTTAATCCCTGATACTTTACAAGTAACAGCAGTTGGGAGAGCGAGAAACCCCCCTCGCAGACACCAAAGTCAGTGCAGAAGGAGGGGGAGGAGGCGCTCCAGGCGCTGGAGCTGAAGTCCCCCTGCGGCCGCTGGAGAGGCCCCTGGTGGAGCAGGCTGTTCCCCCCTCCCCGATGCTTGGGAAACTGAACAAACACCACAGCAAATATGCAAATATACCAAAACTTCTAGACTGTTGCTTAGATAATGCCTACATCACCTTTCCCTGCTCATTCAACTTCGAATACCTTTAACACTTTCAACAAACCTTTTAACACTTCCTTTATCTTTCTCTAGCCTTTACTTTTCTAATGCCGACATCAAAGGCTCAGTCAGGGGCCAACTTAATTCCGTACCTTTTCCCTCCAAGATGCTGAAACAACATCAATATACAACATTTCATCCTGTTTTCCTTCTTTCCACAAAAACAACATTGACTGTAATATGGTGTTATAATTAATACTTCCATTTAGGGGCCACTCCGCTCCATCCTAAAAGTGGCCACCACTGATTACAATATTTGATAAGAGTTCTTTTACTTTCTGTACCCTTTCACCCCACTATATCCCTCCAATGTGTTAGTACACATCCTAGGAGGCTTTTCCTCGGGATTTCTTTGCTTTGAACTTTTCCTATTGTAATCTACAGTGGTTAATATTCCACCGTTTTCCTAGAAGCTCTTTACTAGTCAATCCCAATCCCTCCAAAATCCACAATATATAGATACACAAGTAAAATCAGACCACTGTAAATTAACTGCCTGTTGACAATTACACTGAGGACATTTAAACCTAATGAGCCAATAATATGCCTGGGCAAATTTTGTTCCCTTAGACATACACCTCAATGGCAGTTCTTATATTTACATATTTACATATTAACATATGTATAAAAGAACACTTTAACAAAAATGCCCGGGCTTTTATATATACAATATACAATGTACAGTTATTATTCCAGTTAGAATTATTCCTCAGCAGCTGCAAACATTATGCCAGTTGCCATTAAAGCTCGCTTACCCTCCTCCTGTCTCTTTCTTAAAATATCGGACATCCCTGGAGTTAATGGGGATGGCCACATATTCCTAGTCACTGGTCCCTGAGTGCTAGAATCAGAGTTGTCATTGGCATCTCCCTGGGGTTACAGATTAAGAAGCCCGGGAGTCGGAGGGGCTGCAGGCGGGGGTGGTGGAATATAGGGAGGCAGTGGGGCTGGGATCTCTAATTCTCGGTTTTTACTTACGCCTCCCATCCCCTCCTTTTCCTTTTAGAGGATATAAATTGGATTGAGTTTCTGAGCTGATCCACAAACGTGCATATTCACTTTCTTCCAAACTAAAAGGTTCCTTTGAGTTTACACAAATATTTAGGCCTGACAAACACAGTCTTCAAAAGACCCAAATACAGGCCAGTTAAAGGTGGTCTCCTCGAATCTGTTTACCACCCCAAACTTCAACATAATAATGTATCATTTTTACTTTATTCCTTCCCCACCTAAAAGGGGACTCCTGCCAATTTTTAATCATTAATCCTGGGGTAACCTAACATCAGACGTTACCCCACCCATGGGACCAGAAGGCTTACTCTTCTTCTCTCCCATCTTCCGGAGCGCCTTCACACACACACGCACGGATCGCTTCCCCCTTTTCGTGGCCCAGTCCCTCGTGGGATGTGGGAACCGCACTACCGAGGGGTCCACACTCGCTTCGTCCGCAATTGGACGTCTCGTTTGTTGTGTTCCGGGATACCCAACCCCAACCGACCGGATCACTGGCCTATACTTACCCACCCTGTGGGTCTTCGTTCCGGCTTTGTGCACAAAGGTTGCCTGGGGTTTACCAGGTTTTATTTGCTTGTGTCTAATTTTGGGTTCATCGGTGAAGGATTTGAATGAAAGTAGTCCTAGCGAAGGCCGCTGAAATCAGCGGGGCGCCCCCTCCGAAGGTCTTTCAATCAGATTGCCTTCATCCGAGTCACGGCACCAAATTGTTATAAATTAGACCACACAATTTACTGGTCTATTGAAATTATTTTATTAATCAAGTAAGCAGACACAAGCAAAACAGCACTGGGTGGCTGGGGAGTCTCCGCTCCACAACAGCACGCAACTTCCCTTTCCAGGGTTGCTGTTTTATAGCAGTTGAGTTCCAGCTTATCGGGACTTGTTGAACTGGCTGAGGCTGCGCAGTCTATTGTTGAGAGAGGGGGTCATTGTTCCTCTGCTGGTAATCACGCGTTGTGCTCGTGTTCAGGTGGGGGAAGTGAAGCGGCAAGCAGGATGTCTGGTTTCACTCAAGGATGTTTAGCCAATACCCCCCCCTGCTATCTGCTTGCTTAATCCTCCCCTTTACCAAGGCCATTAAATTGTACAACCTTATCTCCTCAGTAGATTCTCCAAATTCCTCAAAGACAATGAACAAACCCCCACTAATTTATCACATTACTAAACTCAGATTGAGTTGAGACTTCATTTATAACACAGCCATGACCAGGTTGAGAGATTGTGGCTGAAAATCAAGGATCAGTCCAGTAAAGGACATCCAGTGGCTGGGGTCTGCTACAGGCCACCTGATCAGGGGGAGTCTGTTGACGAGGCCTTCTTGCTTCAGCTGCAAGAACTGTCGCGCTCGCAAGCTCTTGTCCTGATGGGGGATTTCAACCACCTGGATACCTGCTGGGGGTCTGCTGGTGGCAGCAGCACGGCGGGTTCCAGACAATCCAGGAGATTCCTCGAGTCTGTTGAGGATAACTTCCTAGTCCAGGCAATAGACGGACCGACCCGAGGTGCAGCCTTACTAGACCTGGTGCTCACCAACGTGGAAGAGAGCACTAGAGAGATTAAGACTGGAGGCTGCCTGGGCTGTAGCGACTATGCCCTGGTGGAGTTGTGATCTTGAGGACTATGGATCTGGCAAAAAACAGAGTCACGACCCTGAACTTCAGGAGAGCAAACCTCCAGCTGCTTAAGGAATTACTGGCTGGGATCCCCTGGGAAACTCTCCTGCAGGGTGTAGGAACAGAACAGAGCTGGTGGTTCTTTAAGGACATGCTTCCGAGAGTGCACAAGCTCTCCATCCCCCAGCAGAAGAAATCGAGCAGAGGAGGCGGGTGACTGGCATGGCTGAGCAAGGACCTGCAGCTACAACTGAGGGAAAGGAGGGAAACGTACAGGAAGTAGAAGCAGGGTTGAGTAGCCTGGCAGGAATACAGGCATGTCATCTGAATGTGTAGAGATGGGATCAGGAAAGCCAAGACTCAGATGGAGCTGAACTTGGCACGGGACATGAAAAATAGCAAGAAGGGGTTCTACAGATACATAGGTAGGAGGAGACAGGCCAAGGAGAGTGTTCCCCCGTTGATAAATGAGTCGGGAAAGCTGGCCTCCTCAGACATGGAGAAAGCTGAGGTACTCAATAAGTGCTTTGCCTCCGTCTTCACTGGTGGTCAAGTTTCCTATGTCTGTCAGTACCCTGAAGCTCCAGGAGAGGGTGAGAGGAGCAGATTCCATCCCACTGTGACAGTGGAACAAGTCCAGGACCGCCTAATGAAATGGGATGTGTATAGAGAGGTGGCTGATGTGGTTGCCAAGCTGCTCTCCATCATATTTGAAAAATCATGGCTGTCAGGTGAGGTCCCTGGTGACTGGAAAACATGACTCCCATTTTTGAGAAAGGCCTGCAAGGAAGACCTGGGGAGCTACGGGCCGGTGAGCCTCACCTGTGTGCCTGGGAAGATCATGGAGCAGATCCTCCTGGAAGACATGCTAAGGCATGCACGAGATAAAGAGGTGATCCAAGACAGCCAGCACGGCTTTACCAAAGGCAGATCTTGCCTGACCAATCTGGTGGCCTTCTATGCTGGAGTGATGGCATCAGTGGACAAACGAAGAGCAATGGATATCATCTACCTGGACTTGAGCAAAGCCCTCACCACATTCCTCTCTCTAAATTGGAGAGGTATGGATTTGAAGGATGGACAGTTAGGTGGACAAAGAATTGGCTGGCTGGTTACAACCGAAGCGTTGTGCTCAACGGTTCTGTCTGGGTGGAGGCCGGTCACAAGCGGTGTCCCTCAGGGGTCGGTCTTGGGACCGGTGCTCTTCAACACCTTTATCAATGACATAGACGATGGAATCATCCACACCCAGGCCCAGGCTCAGTACTATTGTCCCGGGAGTTTCTGTCGACATTGTTTAAAAGGCTCCTTTGATAACACATAATATTGTAGACAGGATTATGTGTAGGGAGCTCAACTTCAAAATCTATTCCTTCTTGGGAGTGAGTAGGATCCAATGTTTTTAGAAACCTAGAGAATCCAGACACAGTCGCTGCTGCTAATAGAATAGCAATCAGAATCAGGGCTGTTTCTGTCTTTCTAGCCATCAGGGAGCAAGTCCAGCAATCCTTTTGAAATAGAACTCGAGAGATCTTGTGGCTTAATTGGAAATGATGATTTCCCCTCCTTCCCGGCTCACCTTCCCCCGTCCCTCTCTGGAATGGGGGAGAGAAACGAGAAAATTGAAGCTTGTGTGTTGAGATAGAGACAGTTTATTAGGACAGAAAATAATAATAATAATAATAAAGTACAAAACAAGTGATGCACCATACAGTTGCTCACCACATGATGACCGATGACATGGCCCCCCCCACCCTGGCCAGCCACCCCTATATATTTTTTCTTATATGTTGTTTATTGGTGCGTGATGTTGGATTGTCACACTTTGAAGCCCATTCTTGTTCCATCACATTGCTGTGCTTGTCCAATTCTATCAAAATTCATTCATCAGTATTTGTGTGTTTGTTACTGTGATACCATTAATAGGACATTGACATAGAAATCATAGTAGTGATGACATACAGTATTATATGATAATTAACATAACACAATTCAACTCGTGTTATTCTCACCCAGTATTAAATCCCCTTGAAGTACACAGCAGACCTCCCCATTCTTTTGCATTACCCACCAAGTGCATCCAGGTCCCTGAGCAAAAGCAATCCTAAGAATGTGTTTGCCTTTTCCTGAGGCAGGAGTAGCCCAGACTGTCTTCCCCAGCATGTTTCTTACATGCACTACAGGAACCTTATCCCCTTCTACAGTATATAAGTACGTTTGATTGGGCAGGTCCAGCTCGGTTGGCAGATCTGCTAACCAGGTGGCCTTTGCCAAATGTGTGTCCCAATTTTTGAATGTCCCAGCACCCATTGCTTTCAGTGTAGTCTTTAACAGTCCATTGTATCATTCAACTTCCCCAGAGGCTGGTGCATGATAGGGGATGTGATACACCCACTCAATACCATGTTCTTTGGCCCAAGTGTCTATAAGGTTGTTTCGGAAATGAGTCCCATTGTCTGACTCAATTCTTTCTGGAGTGCCATGTCGCCATAGGACTTGCTTTTCAAGGCCCAGGATAGTGTTCCAAGCAATGGCATGGGGCACAGGATATGTTTCCAGCCATCCGGTGGTTGCTTCCACCATTGTAAGTACATGGTGCTTGCCATTGCAGGTTTGAGGGAGTGTGATGTAATCAATCTGCCAGGCCTCTCCATATTTATATTTCAGCCATTGTCCTCCATACCAAAAATGCTTGGACTGTTTGGCTTGCTTGATTGGAGCACATGTTTCACAATCATGAATAACCTGTGCTATAGTGTCCATGGTCAGGTCCACCCCTCAATCACGAGACCATTTGTATGTTGCATCTCTACCTTGATGGCCCGAGGTGTCATGGGCCCATCAAGCTATAAATAATTCAACCTTATGTTGCCAGTCCCGAGCCACTTCAATCTTAGCAGCCTGATCCACCTTCCGGTTGTTCTGATGTTCTTCAGTAGCCCGATTTTTGGGCACATGAACATCTACATGGTGTACCTTTACAACCAGGTTCTCTACCCGGGCAGCAATATCTTTCCACAATGCAGCAGTCCAGATGGTTTTGCCCCTGTGCTGCCAGTTGTTCTGCTTCCATTGCTGTAACCACCCCCATAGGGCATTTGCTACCATGCATGAATCAGTATAGAGAACTGGCCATTTTTCTCATTCAGCAATATCTAAAGCCAGCTGGATGGCTTTCACTTCTGCAAACTGACTCAATTCACTTTCTCCCTCACAGTAGCTTCTGGAACTCTTCGTGTAGGACTCCACACAGCAGCCTTCCATCTCCAATGCTTTCCCACAATACGACAGGACCCATCAGTGAACAGGGCATATTTCTTCTCATTTTCTAGTAGCTTGTTGTACAATGGGGCTTCTTCAGCATGGGCCATCTCCTCCTCTGGTGATATCCCAAAATATTTGCCTTCTGGCCAGTCCATAATCATTTCCAAGATTCCTGGGCAACTGGGGTTTCCTATCCAAGCCTGCTGAGTAATCAGTGCGACCCACTTACTCAATGTAGCATCAGTGGCATGATGTGTAGAGGGGACCCTTCCTTTGAACATCCAGCCCAGTACTGGCAGTCAGGGTGCCAGGAGGAGCTGTGCTTCAGTACTGACCATTTCCGAAGCAGATCAAACTCCCTCATATGCTGCCAATATCTCCTTTTTGGTTGGAGTGTAGTGGGCCTCAGATCCTCTGTATCCCTGATTCCAAAACCCCAGGGGTTGACCTCGAGTTTCCCCAGGTTCTTTCTGCCAGAGGCTCCACGTGGGGCCATTCTCCCTGGCTGCAGTGTAGAGCACATTCTTTACATCTGGTCCTGTTCGGACTGGCCTAAGGGCTACTGCATGAACTATTTCCTGCGTAATTTGTTCAAATGCTTGTCATTGCTCAGGGCCCCATTTGAAATCATTCTTCTTACGGGTTACTTGGTAGAGCAGGTTTACAATCAGACTGTAATTTTGAATGTGCATTCTCTAAAACCCCACGACACCTAGGAAAGTTTGTTTCCTTTTCGCTAGTTGTTGGAGACATAGCTGTTATTTTGTTTGTCACATCCATTGGGATTTGCTGATGTCCATTTTGCCATTTTATTCCTAAAAACTGGATCTCTTGTGCAGGTCCTTTGACTTTATTTTGTTTTATGGCAATACCAGCCTTTAGAAGGATTTGAACTATTTTCTTCTCATTCTCAAAAACTTCCTCTGCTGTGTCACTCCACACAATGAGGTCATCAATGTACTGCAAGGTGTTCAGGAGCTTTCCCCTGATCCAGCGCAGACTGGATCAGTCCATGGCAAATGGTAGGGCT